CCCCCGGCCGCCCGGTGCCTCCAAGGTGCTTCCCCGAGGAGGAGCGGGGGAGCTTGTTGCTTCTCGAGAAGGTTTAAAAATATATATATATATAATCGGTTTTAGGCTGGTTAGGTTTTTGTGTGTGTGTGTTTGTTTGTTTTTCCTGGTGGTTCGCTTGGGTGGTTGTTGTGTGCGGTGGCCAGGTGTTGGGCTGTGGCTGTGGCGGTTCAGCCGGGGCTCTCCTGCCCCTTAACATCACTTCCAGTCTGTCCCCCGTCCCTGCAAAACTGCTGGTTTTCGGTTCCCTGGCTGCTAAAGCCCCGTCTCTCTCTTTCCTCAGCAGCTCGGTGTTGCGCCCCTGGCCGTGCAGATCTTTCAGGTTGTTCTTCCTGTTGTCCTCTCGCTTATTCATTGGAAGTTATGTTGGCAGTCTGGTTGAAGTGGGTTTAGACTCCAGTTTACTGAGGTCGTGTTGCTAGCAGATGGTATGAGATCGGTATAGTTACTCGGGATTTCTTCATTCTTATTCCTGGTAAACAGCTGTTTTCTAGGAAAACCAGTTATCATGGAAACTAGCCATTTGTGGGGTTGTGTTTTTTTTTTCCCCTCCGTAGTTCTTTGTAATCTGTGTTAAACTGATTCTTCTTCAATTCTTCAATTCTCTTGAGAGCTTCCTAAGGAAGATATTTTGGTTTGTCTTGTTTATTACTACGGAGTTGGTCAGTGGTGGGACCTTGGAGGATCAACTGGTTTTATTTTTTGCTAAATCTGAAACAACAATGCAGAGTTACTGTGGCTTAAGCCAGCTCTGCTGTTGAAAACTTATGTCCTTATTTTGTGGTAGCAGATTTGGTTTTATATCTTGTTCAGCCCTGGTGACTTGTCGTTTCATCGGTTTACTCTAAAAGCTTTCTATCTTCCTTGTATTTCCCAGTGAAAATGGAGGTAAATGATAGGGTACAAATATTTGTGGAGTCAGCAAATAAATCTCTGTGTGAAGTCAGTCTTCCACCTTAGGAAGGTATGCTGTACAAACACACAAAAAAGTATGTGCTCAAGGAACTGAATTTTGTGAAGGTAAGAGCTTCACTTGTTGGACATCTGAGAGACACTTCACTCTTTAAACAAGGATGCTGGATGATGAAAGCTGGCTGGAAAAAATGGCCAGTGGGAAAAGGTACAAGTCAAATATATGTAGTGCAGTAAAGTACCAAACAATAAAGTGTACTTCAACTTGATTATAACTACAGTAATGTAACTCTTCCTGATGGCTGCAGGAAAAATAATGAAGATTTAATCTTCCAGTATTAAATCTGGAAGGTGAAGCTCTTAATGAAATATCCTGATGCAGCAGAGCTTGCAGTCATTTGCTTTATTTATTAATGCTGCTTTTAACTGTCTCCTTGATGCTCTCAAGTTTAAGAATTTCATGGCCTCTTGCAGCAGAAGCTTTGAAATACAGGCCTGGCTTCTGCCATGGAATTGGTGTCTCTTTCACAGCTTCAAAAGCTCAGTGAAACAGGTCACATTCCAGTCGCAAGTAAAGCAAGTTTAACTCTTTACTCTGTTGGGTTTTGCTCCCTTTTTTTACAGCCTATGACTGCCTTAATGGGGTGGTTACATTAGGAAGCTGAAGACTGTAGGTTTTTATGAGGATTGAAAAGAAAACTTCAGATATATGATGAAACCTGTGAGGTTAATTGGCGATCTGGAAAAAACATGTTAATTAGATATCCAAAAATAAGCAGAAGTGAGCATGTCTCAAGGAAATGTATTCTGTATGTATGTAAGAAAAATAACTTTCTGAATGCAAGTTTCCTGTACCTGTTAACTTTCACGTAGTTGGATTTTAAAAGTAGGGCTAGACTGATAGAACAGTGGAAATACTTCAATCCCTCTTATGTGGAAAATAGTTTGGTCAGCTGGAAACTTTCCTTTCATCAATATAGTGTGACTAACACACTGCGGTGGACTAATATCCTGTCCCTTGCTTGGGGAAGAGTATAGGTGACAGGTATGTTTAGTGTCATGCTTACTCTGGTAGACCCTGTCAAAAGGTGGGAGACAGCAGTTCAGGGACTTCACGGGCTTGAGGTTGCACGTAGATAGCACTTGAGTTAATCGTGGTTTTTTCTGTCAACTTATGGAGCCTTGCCTTGAGTCTCTTTATGCTTCTGACTTGCAACAAGATTTTTCTGTCAACCGCTACGCAATACGGAGCAGTAAGAGTAGTGTTATGCCGTAGTCCCCCTTGCTTGCAACCCCCAGAGTCAGTGGGCTTGTCCTTGAAAGGTGTTTGAGACCTAAAGCTGCTGCTTTTATGTCGGGGAGCACTAAAGTAAGAAAATGCAACGGGCAGAGCTGCATTTTGTTCCAGCCTCAGATTGTTTAGTCCTTCGAAGCTACCTGAGGGACACACTGCGTAATGTTCAGAAAAATAAAATGAAGTTGGCTTTAAAACTGCTTTGGGGATTGGTTTGTTTGAATATGAGAAGAAACAGGAACTCTATTCATGCTAATATATGGCAAAATAGAAGTAAGGAGTGAACAGAAAATGCTGTTTATTAAAGGAACAGAAGTGATTTCCGCTGTGAAACCCCAGAATGTCTGGAAAAGCGGTGTTTTTGACATGTGACTAAATATAACCTAGTTGTGCTCTGCTGTATGGAACCACAGATCAATCAATGGTCTGTTGAGAGCGAGACCGTAGGATGTTGATATTAGTGACACACTTCCCCTCAGGACAGACTTGGCTACCCTGCAGGAAGTGGGGTGAATACTCGGGTATAAAGTCAATGTTTTGATATGCCTGATCATAGACTAGGAGTAATTTGTCTATGGAGACATAGAAACAAGAACCAGTGAATTACTTTGTGATTTCTAATTCTAATATTTCAAAACTGAAAGCATGTACAGGGATAACAAGCTGAATTGTATTTTCCTTAAAAATCTTAATTTGAATAAAAAAGTAGATATCAAGCTTCATTTGAAGCTTAATGGGACTTTTTGTGCATGTATTTATTCCTAAAAGTTAAATCCTTCATATTAATGCCTATAGGATCTTAGTCCTTCTGTTAGCCCTTAAACTTTAGAAGAATTTGTTCTGCTTCTTCCTGCTTGTCCCTGGGACCTGGGGTGCACCTCGGGCTGCAGAGTTGTGAGGGTGACTTTCATATCTCTTGTGCTTTGTCTCTCAGACTGTGTGTGGCTGTTAGCTCATAACCACTATGAATACTCTTTCCTTGTAAATCTTGGTCCGGTATTGTGTGTTCTGCAGTGGTGACTTTTAAAATAGTACAGCTCTCCTTCTAAACTGGAGCGATGGAATCCAAGGGTGGCACAAGGAATAGGAGTCAGCGGAGGGGACAGCTGGGCTCTGGGCTGACGTGGGGGAAGCCGGGTGTTGAAGTCAGAGGAGATGAACGGGACAATGTAAGGAAAGAGGAAAGGATAAAAGATGAAACGGACATGGAAAAAACATGCGCTATGAGCTAATGGGCTATTGGATAATGGAGCTGTGAAAGGAAGGAAAACAAGCATTTAGAGATTATTTTCAGCACTGTCACTGGGGTGTAATAAGCATCTCCTCTGGATTGTATAATGTACAACATGGGATTGGGCTTGTTTGACCAAGAAATAGTCTTTCAGAAGATACTAAGTATATATTGTGGTTTGTTTCTGAATACAAAGTTTATATATGCTAAGCATGTGCACAGGTATTTCCTCTGGTGCGTGAAATTCCAGTGGAACTGTTAGACATAAGCTTGGTTTATTTTACTCAGGAATACTGTATTCCCTTGTTGGAGCACCACAACTGAATTGCCAGTATTTTAGTATGCAGTTTGACTTTTACGTCTGATAAAGCTGTCTCAGCCCTCTGTTAGTCTTTTAGTGAAGTGTAAGTAAGAAAAAATGAACATTCACAGCAAGCCTCACCACAATGTAGAGCTTTCCTGTGGAGAGATTTCTTGTGGGAAACTATATAATAACATTAGAATATCCTGTCTTCTCACAGTAGTACTACTTGCTGTCAGCCTTGAAAGAATCTGTGCTTCAGCGAGTGCTCTCGGTACCCTAGAAGTGACAGTTATCCTACTCCCTAGAAGTGATGGCTTCCTTCATTACTGGAATATAATAAACAATGTTTTTCCCAGTATGTTTATTAAAAATGTTGTTTTCCATTGTTGGAATGAACCTCTAGCACAAGTATCTGGCTGTGGATAAATGGAAACATTACTGTGGGGTAAGGTAGGTTCAGCGTTCACAGCACGTAATTTGCAGCAGAAGACTGTATGCACGGTCTCTGCTGAGAGTGATGAGTGACATCCAATATCAATAGGCCTGTATACACGTTTTGCAATAATGATTAAAAAAAAATCCATTTTTTTTGACAAGGTCAGTGTAATCCGGATGCTGGCCTGCTGGGAATGTTTTTCACTTTTTACTCATTTTCCATCCACAGTCATTTACCTCCCTGTGGAGAGGGAGGCAAGGAACTATTCTCAATTATGGCTCTAGGAGAAAGAGTAGGAATCTCCTGCCCTGTTAGGATCCTGTTAATGTAGGATAATTGCTAGTTTATCTTACTGCCTTAATTGGGTATTGCCTCACACATGGTGGCTCTTTTGTGCTTCATCATTTGGGAAAGAGATGCTTCTTCAGACAGGCTTGGGAAGTATATTTTAGCCTCTTTACATATTTTTTGGGGGAAAAGCTGAATGCAGTCCCTCGGCATTGCAAGCTGTACAGTTGTTCTCTATACTTGGGTAAAAATCAAAAAGAAGAGGTGAGCCTTTCCCTAAGAAAAAGGCAGTTTCTCGATTGTGTTGTCTCCCCTATATTGAATCAGAAAATCTGCAAGGAGCGTGGTGTCTCCGTTCCCTGGCACTTCATGGTTTCATAGTGCTATCAGCTGAAGTCGGTTTGAACTACCAAGAAGGATGATGCATTTTAATATTGTATGGTGTGATATGTCAGCCTGCAGTTTTGGTATAGTTTGTTACTCTGTACTGTTAGAACTGATGATTTTGGGGTGTTGCTCTATTGCCTACCACGGTTTACTCTGATAACCTGGAAAAAGGAATGGAGCACGAGCTTAGCACACAGGTGGGAAACATCTCTGAGTAAGAAGTTTCTAAAACCTTTGTTTCTGCCATTCCTCATCTGCATGCTGTCCTATGGGTGTCTGCTTTTAGCTGTTGCTGGTAGTAGGTTATATCTTGAGTAAGAAGTGCCAAGATGGTGCTTGGGGCATTCAGAGCGGGGAAGCTACAGATGGAAGAAGAATCTGTCTAGAGGAGTGCTTGGCTTCCAGTGGTCATAATGGGAAGTGCTTAACTTCAACACATAGTCGGAGGGTGAAGTTTCCTGAGGTCCGAGTGGCTTTAGCAGCTTGTGGAAAGGGAGAGACTTGCTTCTGCTGCTTCCCTTTCTTTTGTTTCTGTGCTCATCTGACCTGTTGATGAGCCAGTTCTGCTAACAATAGGCAGTAACAACAAAACCAAATGTAGCACAAGTACAGACTTTCCGGCTGATCTTAGGAACCAAACTACCTCACCGTGTATTCAGACAAACCCTGGCATAAAAGGAGTATGAACTGTATGACTTGATTAAAGGGGTGTTGAGAAGCCTGCACTTTAGTGTCAGCCAGCTCTTAAGTTAGGACTAAGATCTGTGTTGCCCCCGAACTCAAATTGATTAGAAAAATAAAGTTGAGACAAAGTGGAGATATTAGCTAAATTTATGGGTTCCTACACAATTTGCACTGACTCACGGTGAGTTAACAAGTTTCTTTCATGAAGATCTTTGCCTTCTCTCTTAAAAGAGCAACTATGAAATATGACATTAGTAGAATTTAATGTATTTTAATATTTACCCTTTGAAAATGAGTACAGCAGCTTGGACTCTTCAGCAATGTTGATGGCTTGCATTCTAGCTAACCCCAGTGCATATGTATGAAAAAAATCTTTAAAATATTTACGATTTTATTATAGGAATATAAATGTTGACTTTCAAACAGAACTCTTCTGGACGCTCAGCTCTTGGAAGCTGTTATATGTTATAGGAATTCTGCATATAGTAAGCACTTTGATGTCTGTGGGGTTTTTGTCAACAAAGAGTGAAACTGGATTTTGCAAGCCGACCTCAGTGTTTGACTGAGGTCTCTCTATTCTGCTGTGATGCTATGTAATTAAAATTCTAATTCCTTTCAGAAAATAACAAATTTAACTTGTAACCAAACCCCAAACCACTAGTTCAAAATTATTTGCCTCTATGAAACACTTATTGTAAAAGATTCACTGTATTTTAACAAATGGAAGTAAGGTCAGAGAACTTCTCTGGGTTCAAATATATTTTATTTTTGGTCATATCTGCCAACACTAGTATAAACTGGTACTCTTAGTAATAAGTATGAATGTTGAAGCAGTGTGTATATATAAACAGTAGTTATTACATGCCTTATGGTATCTCCCAAAGTAAAAGTTACTGGGAAGACACCTAGTGAGTATACTACTTTACTGTTCTGTAGCAGTGATTGTTAACATTTAATTTGTAAGCAAACAGGGTTGCATTTAATTGCACACAAATTGTGGCAGTAGAAGACATAGCTATAAAGGCAACAGTAAACCCAAAGTTCAGCTGAGAGCTACCAGTGGGGAAGAGACAACATTGGGGAAACGTGTATGTATTTCTGCTCTGAATGCAGCAGTGTTCAGTTTGAGCCATGTTTGCTTAGTAAGTTATTTAGCTGGCAAGCCTGAACTTAGAATAAAGTTTTCTTGTACAACATTCAGACTTAGAAGTCAAAGGCAGCAAACTGTATTTTTCTTTCTGCATAAGCTGCCAGATGTAGTTACAGATTTCTTTCTTTGCACCACCACAACTTCATTTTGTAACCTTTACCTCTTTTCAACCTGTCTTGAATGTCTCTGCTGTTCTCATGACATGGTTTCCTGGTGGTTTTAGTTTTGCTATGGAGTCTTCAAGTTTTGTTTTGGGTCTTCTGGGTGTTGAGAGCAAGTGTTTATATGAATGACCAAAGGGGATATTTTTATGCTCTTTAGAGGCTTTTGTTTCTCTGTATTTAATCCAGAAAAACTGTTATTGCTTATGTCTCCTTTTGATTGCTGGCCTTGATTTGCAATATCTGACTTTGGATGCTGGTGACAAACTAAAATTAGCATGCTTACTGCTGTGGCCCCAGGGAGCTCTCCAGTTAACTAATAGTTTTCCAGAAGGACTCCAGTGCATGAGAAGTGATTCCGACTTAGAGGAGGAAGTTCTGAACTGGCTAAGCAGGAAGGGTGTAACGTGTCCTCTCATTAATAGTCTTCAGCTGGAGATTTTAGCCCAACTATCAGTGCCTCAAGGCTAGAATAAGTGATACTGAGAGTTTAGTAGGTTTGGTTTGTGCACTTTGTGTCCAAACTAGAGGATATCCTGTGACTGGTTTTACGTCTTGGCTCTGAGATTCTGAAATTCCTTTTCCTATAATCTTGGTAGCACTGTTTAAGTTACTTTTGTACTTCGTTTGCAATAAGACATGTAAGAAAATCAGATACAGATAATGAAGGATGAGGCTTGCAAAACTGTGAAGGGTACATTAGAAATAAATATTAAGTCCTATGTGGAAAAGCTTATGAATGAACTCTGGGAGATGGTGGTGTAATACTAAGTTTATGCTTATCCATTTGCATGTGCTGAGAGAACTTACAAAATATTGGTAATGCTTTATTTCTGTCCGTTACATGTACAAGTAATGCATTTCCTCCTGTATTCACAATTGCATGTGACTGACACTGTGGGTGTTAAACCACTGAATTATTCAGCCAGTAGACTACTTACCTTTAGGAGAAGGAGCACATTGCGAATTTAATTTAGGAAGTTTTTCCCTTAATTTGCTTATTTGCTAGAATGTGAGGAATTTAATTAAGAGGGAGGGTGTTGTTTTTTACATCATGTGTTGAACATATGAACTTTGCTAAGTAATAATTACTCTTTCTCTCTTCAGGAAATACACATAAAAGAATGCATAGAAAAAGAAGTAAATCCTCACTTATTACCAGGTAACTGTTGTGTATTATAGTATTAGAATTAAATAATAAAAATTAGTCATGTAAACAATATTTCAATATTCCCATGTGTGCACCAACGTTCATATGACATCGGTGTCCCAAGTAGTAAAATAGAGGTTTTGGTGTAACAGCCCAGACAGGTTTAAATGTTTTAAATATCAGTTCTACATGGGTTGTTGAAAAAAAGTACAAAAATTGAAGTCTTTATAGAGTACAGTGTCTTCCTGTAAGCTGCCTGTGGAGAACTGTCTATACTTCAGTTTGCCCTGTTTCTTAAAAGATAAAGTTAGGTGTTTGGGAACTAAAGACCAAGAACTAGTGGATGCTTGCTTTCTAGTTGCATTGCTTCTACTTGAGTTACTTAGGCCTTTGATGCCTCATTCGCTAAGACATTTTTTTTTCTTACATTTACAACACTTTATTTTTAAATAATGTTTTCCAAATTTAGGAAAGATGAAATTATTATGATAAAATACAAGTAGAAGCTTAGAATAAATGTGTATTGTTCTGTTTGGTCTTCTACACTTCATAGGAGAGACCAAAAGCCTGGCTGACTATACTTATGAAAACCTGTTTTTACTTTCTTAAACTTGCTGTTCAGTTCCTGCTTATTTTAGGATTAGAACTTCATTGACCATTATTTATGCCAACTTGTGTTTGAGAACTTTAAAATAGCCCTGGGACCTGTAAAGAAAGCAGCATCTCCAGTCAAAGCTGTGAAAAATTAACTAAGATGAACTTGTAATAACTAACTCAAATGTTTCAGCAATCTTAGTAAGGAAAATTAAAACAGTTTTCAACTTGTTTATCGACTGTATTAACTACTTTGCAGTGGGCTTTTTTTTTCTGTTTTGAGTACATACTCGTATGATTGCTCTTTGCAGCTCCAGATGTTGTTCTCCTACCACCTGGAGTAGGCCATGATACAGTTCTGTACCTCTGCTTACAGAACCCCAAAACTTCTGCAGTTGAACAATGTTCAGCCCATCTTGAGTAATGTTAATAACCTGAAAAGCTCTCAGTGTACTGTTCCAGGAGTTGCCTCTTAGTCTTTTTGTATAACAGTGATGAAATATCTTCAGGGGCACAGTTATGAGAAGCTGTCAGGAGGTTAGTGCTAAGTTTAAGGTAACAGTTGAAATAATTCAGTTATAAATGTCAGTTATGTTGCAAGTCGGTGTTTCTTTTACACAGGTGAACTGTTGCTTTGTGAGGCAAGCACAGTGTACAAGTATATACAAGAAGATGGGTCAAATCGTGGCACCTACGGGAAACTTGTATGCACAAACTTCAAGATTGCTTTCCTTGATGATGATTCTGCTTCGGACGATAACGTAGGAAGACAAGTCTTCTAATTATGACCAAACAGGCTTTGAGGCATACACTGTTCTTGACTATATAATCATCTTTCTCTATATGGATACAGGAAAAAACGTAGATTTATAAAAAGTTTTGATGGCTGCAGACTAATTTTAATCAATCTGCCTTTGCTTGGTCTATGCAGATCCTTCTTCAGGCTCTAATGACTAAGTAAAAATGGTGCCAGCCTGTATGTGGACACTTACAAAGAGTTATAAAATATATCTAATGTATCTTGTGAGTTGGTGATTTTGTGAGGCTTAAGCTAAAAGAATGAATTGTTCTGAAAATTAAATCAATAGTTTGCTTAAACCTGATTTCTGAGTGCTTATCTAGTAGCAATTGCAAGAGTGGGAATGTCAAACATACTTACAATGTCATATAACATCTGGCTGACTTTGGGCTACATCTGCAGAACTGTTTTGGGGCTGCACAAGACTGAGTAAGCTGATTTCAGTGGAAATCCTGTAGATAATTGTTTGTGTGGCTCAGTAAAGCTCTGAATTATTCCATTCAAAGTCAGATGTTGACTGCAAAGATTTAAAAACCTGGCACTATTGAGTTGGAAACACTGAAAAAGGTGAAAAAGTCCCCAAATCTTAGAAATCAGTTGAATCTTGTTTCCTTTATTTTAGATGCTCAACTTGAGCTGTCAAAGGGCTGCCACACCTTTTTTTTATGTGCTAAGCATGTGAAGCAATCTAGTCTACTTAGGTGATAAAAGTGAAGGAGAGAGCCTGTTTTATTACTTTCCAATGCAAGGTGATCTTGATAGTGAAGAAGAATGAGAATATGATTTGACACACGTTAATTGTAGTTGCAAGTTTCTTGAGTAAAATTTCAGGGAGTTAAAATGTTGAACTGAGGCTTCTGTAGCCAAGTATAAATTTTTGGACCTTCTGGAATTAATTTGGACAGAGCTGCAGAACCCTTTCCACAGATCATGTGAGATTTATTCTAAAGCTGGTAGTGACCATGCTAATTTCTGTTCTGTAACTGACTTGAAATCTTCGATTTATAGCATGCCAAGTCAACTCTGTTTCTCTTAACAAAAGTTCGGTATTAGTCGCCTGATTCAGAGTACTGCAGACCTGGAAATAACTTGAGTGAGGTTAACTCTGTTCTCAGCTGTTTTCATGTAAAATGTAACTTGCTGATGTAGTGTACATCAACCTTCTGGCAATAGTATTTAACATAACAGTGTTTAATTGAGGCATCACTTAAATGTCATCTTTAACTCTGAACTCGTGGAAGGGAGCCCCAGATCACTTCAAGTTTGGCAGAACAGTAGATAAGAGAATTGGGCTCTTCATTTTACCCAGTGATAAATCTGGCTGTTATGTTGGAATATTCCTGGGATACTTGTTCTTTTAAGAGACTTTCTATTTCCTGCCAGGTTCTCATAGCAAGGAAACTTGTCATAAAAGGGCTTGAATTACATCAAGTTACTGTATTTCCTGTTTACTGCAATGATTCTAGTTTGAAAAGTGACTCAATAGAAAAGCGTGCTTTGAAGCTATTTGAAAAGTAAAAATACTATCTGCATTTCAAGTATGGCTGAGACACAGTTTATAAATTACACCTGTGCAACCTGCATCTGTCTGTATTTTAATAACTTTTCTTCACTGTTCTGCCTTACACAGCTTATAAGAAGTAATACTGATATCAAAATATGTATGGAATACATCTTTTACTTGTGAGAAAGTGCTACTGCGTAGTAAAGTGAGATTTCTAAGAATTTTTTTTCACATTCTAGGAGCCACAACTTAAGAATAAGATTGTAGGAGAAAACGACATAACCCTGCAATGTGTAGATCAAATCTATGGAGGTAAGTCAGCTTTCTCTTCATTTAACATACCTCACATTGAGTGTCTTATAGCGCTGATGCTTTTAGTTTATACTCATACCTCCTTTTCAGAAAACTGATGGAGTTGTCAACTAGGATTGGGCAGTCTGGAAAAAACAGCTGCAGTTGTATTTAATGATGAAATGACGATTTGAGATCTGTCAGAATCCAGTCTTGTCCCTCAAGGTTGTCAAAGCTACATCTTGGTTAAATATCTTGCAGGGACAGACAAAATAATTCCTTCAAAATGCCACGCAAAGAAGAGTGTAGTGTGAAAAGTCTGTGATTAAGATTGGTACACAACGACCCTCCAGTGTATCAGCTATAAGTATGGAGGTGTTCACTTCATTTGAGCCATAGTACTGCAGAGCAGTACAAGTACCAGATTCCCAAACTATATATTTTGTTTGTCTAAAGAAACTTTGGTTTATGAGATTTATAATGCTTTCAAAATATCAAAGGAGATGGGAAAACGAGGTTTTAATTTACAAGTAAATCAGTGAGTGTTTTGCAGCAGGGCTGGCAGGTATGGCTGTATTGCTAAAAAGGGTAAATGAGAATGGGGCTGGTAATTTGTACATAGTGGGGAGGGCTTTATTGAGAAGCCTGACTTTGGACTAGTGTTAAGAGTATTAGGAGTATCCATGAATGGTGGTTTGGATTCATACAGGAGCGTCCTAGGGGGAGACTACTGGAAGCTGGTGCTAAGACACTGTTTAGTTTCACGTACAATAGCCTAGCTGGCAGCACTTGAAGTTGTGAAATGATACATCCTCAAACAGAAGTGAACGAAGGCCTCTCTTGGGGATTTTGTGGTGGTTAAAAAAAAAATAGGCTTTTTTAGGAACTTAAAATTATCTCAGTTGTTTGGGGACTTTCCCTTGGGCAAAACTACTAAATTATGTTCTTTATGCATCTCAGAACTTTGTACATCCTAGGCAGGCAGCATGTGAACAGAAAAAATGGCTGAGCAGCTGGCTTACTGCAAGTTTGGTTTCTACCTTGCAGGAAATAGTTTGAGTGGGTTTAAGAAAAAATTGAGTGTATGTCAGTCTGTGTTGTAGGATGCTTGTTTTGACTTGCTAAAACTTGGGCTTGAATTAGGTTCTTGAGAATTTGGAAAAGTCAAGCAGGGATAGCTGTACCAATTGATGTCAAAGTTCTTTTTGATATTTACTTAGACTTTCTAATTTTGCAGTTTATGATGAGAAAAAGAAACTTCTAACTGGACAATTGAGAAAATACCCAGAGAAGCTAATTATCTACTGTAAAGATCTTAGAGTATTTCATTTCTGCCTGAGATACACAAAAGAAGAAGAAGTGAAAAGAGTAAGTATAATAAATTAATTTGTGTGTCTTTAAGCTTAGTGTTGGGTATTTAGCTGTGGGGATGAGGAAAGGATGATATTCACCTGGAGAGATCCCTTTAAGTGTTTTCTGGTTGAGAGAGAAGATAAAAGACTTTGATTTCTAGCTAACCTTACTCACTAAACATTGCTATGTGTGGCAGTTAAAAAGATCAGATGCGCTGGCTCTTTGAAGAAAACTGGAGCTTGTGAGTACTATATGGAACTAGCTTCGGCTCAGGCAAAATTGCAAAGCTGTTCAATTTGTAATATGTAATTTTATTACACTTTAGATGTTTTTCTTTTTCGTATGAAAGCAGTTATTTTCATAGAATGGTTAGACTTGGAAGGGACCTTAAAGATCATTGAGTTCCAACCCCCCTGCCATGGGCAGGGACACCTCCCACTAGCCCAGGTTGCTCAAAGCCCCATCCAGCCTGGCCTTGAACCCCTCCAGGGATGGGGCAGCCACAGCTTCTCTGGGCAACCTGTTCCAGTGTCTCACCACCCTCACAGGAAAGAATTTCTTCCTGTTATCTGATCTAAATATCCCTTATCTCAGCTTAAAACCATTACCCCTTGTCCTATCATGATACTCCCTGATAAAGAGTCCTTTGCCAGCTCTCCTGTAGGCTCCCTTTAGGTACAGGCTTTTCAGGAAGGTCTCCCCAGAGCCTTCTCTTCTCCAGGCTGAACAATCCCAACTCTCTCAGCCTGTCTTCATAGGAGAGGTGTTCCAGCCCTCATAATCTTTGTGGTCCCCCTTTGGACTCACTCCAGCAGGTCCATGTCTTTACTGTCTGAGGGCTCCAGAGCTGGATGCAGTACTCCAGGTGGGGTCTCACGTGCGCAGAGTAGAGGGTAGAATCTACTTTGCCTTCTGGGCTGTGAGTTTGCTGGCTCACGGTGAGCTTCTCATTAACCAACATCCTCAAGTCTCCTCAGGGCTGTTCTTAATCCATTCTCCGCCCAGCCTGTATTTTGCTTAGGATTGCCTTGACCCACATGCAGGACCTTGCACTTGGCCTTGTTGAACTTCTTGAGGTTTGCACAGGCCCACCTCTCAAGGCTGTCCAGATCCCTCTGGATGGTATCCCTTCCCTCCAATGTGTCAACTGCTCCACACAGCTTGGTGTTGTTGGCAAATTTGCTGAGAGTGCACTCTATTCCACTATCCATGGCACCAGCAAAGATGTTAAACAGCACCAGTCCCAGTACTGACCTGAGAAACACCACTCGTCACTGCTTGCTACCCTGACGTCGAGCCACTGACTGCAACTCTTTGAGTATGGCCATCCAGCCAGTTCCTTATTCACTGCATGGTCCATCCATCAAATCATTGTCTCTCTAAATTAGAGGCAAGGATGTCAAGTGGGAGAGTGTGAAATGCTTTGCATAAGTCCAGGTAGATGAAGTCTGTTGCTTGCCCCTTATCTACCATGCTGTAACCTTATTGTAGAAGGCCACCAAATTTGTCAGGCACAATTTGTCTTTAGTGAAGCCATGTTGCCTGTCATCAATCACCTCCTTATTTTCCATGTGCCTTAGCAGAGTTTCCAGGAGGATCTGCTGCATGAGCTTCCCGGGCACAGAGGTGAGACCAACCAGCCTGTAGTTCCCCAGGTCTTCCTTTTTTCCCCTTTTTAAAAATGAGGGTTATTTTTCCCCTTCTCCAGTCAGTGGGAACTTCACCAGACTGCCACAACTTTTCAAATATCATGGATAGTGGCTTAGCACCTTCATCCACCAGTTCCCTCAGGACCTGCGGATGTATCTCATAGGGTTCTGTGGATTTCAGGTTCTTTAGATGGTCTCAAACTTGGTCGTCTCCTACAGTGGGAGGTTCTTCATCCTCCCAGTCGCTGCCTTCACCTTCTGTGATCTGGGTGGTGTGGCTAGAGTGCTAGCTGGTGAAGACCAAGGCAAAAAGGTCATTGAGCACCTTGGTCTTGTCCATGTTCCAGGTGACTAGGTCTGTCATTTCCTTCTGGAGAGGGACCACATTTTCCCTAGTCTTCCTTTTATCACTGATGTACCTATAGAAGCTTTTCTTGTTGCCCTTGACATGCCTGGCCAGATTTTACTCTACCTGGGCTTTAGCTTTCCTGACCTGATCCCTGGCTGCTCAGTTTCTCTGTATTCCTCTTAGGCTGCTGGTACTTGCTTCCGCCTTCTGTAGGGCGCCTTCTTCTGTTTCAGGCTGTCCAGGAGTTCCTTGTTCATCCACGCAGTCTTCCTGGTGTTTTTCACTTCCTCTTTGTTGTTTGTCTTTTCTTTTCTTTCTTTCCCTTTAATCCTGAACCATAAGCTCTTGGTGGGCTCCTCATCCGTCCTCCCCAGGTGGAGCTCCATGCACTCCAGCTGGTCATTGACATAGAGGGCGACACCCCCTCCTCCTCTCCCATGTCTATCCTTCCATCCTGTATCCTCCCATTCCAACACTCCAGTCATGGGAGCCATCCCACTAGGAGTCATCTGTCATGCCAGTAAGATACCCCTGCAGGCATGCACACATCTCTAACTCCTCTTTTGCTACGTGCATTTGCATAGAGGCATTTAAGTTGGGTCCCTGATGACTTTCTGGTAACTCAAGTTCTTTTGTGTTGCTGTTTAACCCCAGCTGGCAGCTAGAACCACACAGCTGCTCTCTCACTTCCCCCAGTCGCGATGGGGGAGAGGATCAGAAGAGTAACAGTGAGGAAAAACTTGTGGGAAGAGATGAAGACAGTTTAATAGGTAGAGCACAAACCGTGCACGCAAGCAAAGTAAAACAAGGAGTTAATTCACTGCTTCCCATGGGCAGGCAGGTGTTCAGCCATCCCCAGGAAAGCAGGGCTCCATCACATGTAATGGGTCCTTGGGAAGACAGACACCGTAACTCCCCCTTCTTTTTCCCCCCGGTTTTATATGCTGAGCATGATGTCACATGGCATGGAATATCCCCTTGGTCAGTTGGGGTCAGCTGTCCTGGCTGTGTCCCCTCCCAGCTTCTGGTGTTCCCCCAGTCTGCTTGCTGGTGGGGCAGTATGAGGAGCACAAAAGGCCTTGAGAGCTTAGTAGCAACCAAAACCACCAGCGCACTATCAAAAGTATTTCTTATCCCAAATCCAAAACGTAGCACTATGCCAGCTGCTAGTAAGAGAGTTAACTCTACCCCAACTGAAGCCATGACATTTTCACAGGTTAATCTGAACGCCAAACTAGGACCTACCTACCCTTATTTAAATAATAAGAGTAATTCTTGAACTTGTACAATACTTCTCACTTAACCACGTAGATACAGTATTTTGCAGACAATGGAGAAAGCTTTCTAAAAGTCAGTTTTCAGATGCTGGGGGTAGAACCTGTTGAACAGTTTTGTTTAAAACCTGTGGGGGGTGGTGGTGGTGTGAAAAAATCTTTTTTACGCTGACGGTCTGTGTTTCATTATTAATTTTTCATCCTTCCCTAGATCGTCAGTGGCATAGTTCATCATAGCCAGACTCCTAAGCTGCTTAAACGCTTGTTTCTGTTCTCTTACGCATCAGCAGCCCCAAACTATACAGGTAAATGTTTTTTCTGTTTTTGATTCGTAGTTTTTGCATACTGTTAGTTCCTTCAGCAGCCTGGGACACTTAGTAGCTGAGTTTGTGCTTGGCTTATGTCTCTGCCCTGCTGGCAGATAGCCTCAGAAGATTCATTATTCTCTTGTTACATGTTGTGACTTGTTGCTAAAAATCTCTAAATTGTTTACTGTTGATTTCTGTGTCACACAGTATAGTTGCACAGAAATTTTCCAAGCAAGAGTAGCATCACTGGCTTGGAAACTTACTGTGATCAATATGTGCAAATGCTTTTCATGTGTTTCTGACTAGAGTGCTCTCATCTAGAAAATATTTTGCTTATTTTATCAATGCATTTTTCCTGTACTGTTGCAGTGAACCAAACTTCCTGCTCTTAATTCTTAAATTATTACATTTTTGGTGGCATCTGACAGAAAGTATTTCCCTTTTTGCTCTTATTTGCAAGCGATCTGCTTCTCCTAGGCAACTGCAAAAAAAAAAAAAGCACAGGTTTGCATAGCAAGATTCCAGTAGACATCTGACTTCCTCTTATAGCTAACTTGTTACGTAATCTTCCCACTTGATCAAGCTTAGCTGAATAATATAGTAAGCTGCAAAATTCAGGATAAAAAGTTGTCAGTGCACTTTCTAGCATTTCACAGCTTAGACTTCAACTGAAATAATAGCACTGTTTTGAATTAGGAACCTGATTCTTGGTGCCCCAGGAACACCCGTTCCTTTCACAGAGGAAAGTTTTGATGCACCCAAGGTATTAACTGGACACTTACCAAAACACGTCAAGTAATTACAGATCATTGAGGTTAGAAGAAACCTCTGGAGATCATCTAGTCATGTTGCTGTCTATCTGCCCCTGTTTAGAGTAGGGTTAAGTACAACAAGCTTACCAGGGTCATGTCCACTTGGGCTTTTAATATCTGCAAGGATTGAGACTTCACAATCTCCCTAGACACACCGTTTCATTAGTTGACCATCCTTATAGTGAAAAAGTTTATTTTTATGTTTACATAGGATTTGCTGTAGTTCAGCTTGTGTACACTGCCTTTTGTCAAGTCACTGGATACCACTGAGTCAAAATCCATCTTCTTTAAACCCCTCCCCTGCTTCTGCCCCCAGCCAGGTGTTTATACACACTGGAAAGATTTCTTGTCCCTCTGAACCCCTACTGAGACTTCTTTTCTCCAGGCTGAATGATCACAGCTCTCTGTCTTTCCTCATACCAGATGCTTTAAACCCTTAATGATTTTAACGGGCCTTCACTGGACTTGGTCCAGCAGGCCTGTGCCTGTCTTCTACTGGGGAGCCCAGCACTGGACCCAGCACTCCAGGCATGGCCTCACTGGTGCTGAGCTGAGAACAACCGACTCACCCAGCCTGTAGGCAATGGCTTTCCTAATGCAGCCCAAGCATACCTTGTCTGCCTTTGCTTGCTCAGGTAGTTTCTGCAGACTTCATCTCAAACTGGTGTTCAGTTTAAACTACAAACATCAGAAAGACCGTAAGTTTTTTCAGGTAGAGGCTAAGCAAGTGTGGGGGAAACCTAGTCTTTATAGCAACTCTGAAGTGTTGTGCCATAATTCTTTCATATTTTAATAACTATCTTCAATAATAGATGCTTAGATCTCATTCTTATGAAGATGTTACAGGAGAGACCAAGCAGACTTTAGAAATTGGGGTTTATGCCTCTTATAGTCTCATACTCTTGGAATCGTAACTCATCCCTTAGAGCTCGTTAATAATGTTCTGTTTCCAACTGTAAATCCAACCTTATCATCTTACAGTGGAGAGTTTCAATTTGCCGTTGTATCTTCTGTGGTAATTCTAGCTCTTTGGTTTTTCAGTATTAGCTAGTGTTGCAGGATACTTAATACTGTTGCTGAGTTGGCTTGACAGAAGTACAGGAAAAGTTCTCAGTTAAAATGATTGCATTCCTCCAATCAATTTTCTGCTCTTATGAAGTGCCCAAAATGTTCTATTCAGTCCAAAAGACCTGTCTGTGATGAAAGAGCAAACTTTAAATGAAATGCAATATCTGAATTGCAGGAAGGCTTTTGGTAGGACTGTTAATTCTACATGTAGGTCTCTATTACCAGATGCCAGTCAGCTACGCTATCATACAATGGTATTTGCTGCACAGCATCCTGGGTTTTAGGCTCGATTTGAGGACAGCCCAATTGTGTAGAAGTTCTGTAAGAGATTATTAGTTAAAGCCGTATTTGACAGAAGATGTGTTTTTAAAGATCAGACAGGCATAGTGTTGCACAAAGGCATTTTATCTTTGACACGCGGCTTTCCATACACGAGAGGTTTGTCTTGCTTACTTTAATGAAAACTAACTACTTGATTTAGGGATGCTTTCATGTTAGAATTCCTGGTACTCTGCAAAGTTAACATTATTGATGTCTGACAGATGGAAGAAACCAGACTGTGATGTTTGATACTCTTGAGGACTGGCGTGATGAGTTGGAGCGGACCAAAGGGAATGTGAAATACAAAGCAGTGACTATCAATGAAGGCTACAGAGTTTCTGAAAAGTAAGCTTGCCCTGGTTAATAGTGAACTTCAGACATATATCTCATGAAGATTTGCAAAAATCAGTGCTACCTTTGATGCTGAGCATCAGTTGTTAGAGTTTTTCTAGGAGCTGGTTTCCATTTTGGTGCATGGCATACTTTGATTTGAGACCTCAGGAAGTCATCTACATAATCCCCGTTCAAGCAGGGTTAACTTCAATATTAGGTTAGGCTACTCAGGACCTTGGTCAGTTAAGCTTTGAGTGTCTGTAGGGGTGGAGAATAGCACCTTAAAATGGCATAGAAAATTTGTAGCTCTGGCACCTATGCTTTTGTCATACTTACTGGTTAGCACGACGTTTTGTTAGTCCTGGATGTCTACTCCGGCAGAATTTGAATTTACATGCACGATGAGATTTGCTGTTGTTTTAGTTGGGGAGGCTGGGTGGGGAAAGATTAACTAGTTTAAAGTGTATCTGCAGAATGTGCTGATGAAAGTTAAGTTGCGTTGCCTTTAGTGGTAGGTTAGAGGTGTATAATTATCCCAGTAGTATCTATTGATGAATCCTTTAGGATGTACTCAAGGCTTTTTGTACTACTGATGTTTAATAGTCAAATCCTAGAAGGTTTGACAGACTTTGGAAACAAACACCAGTTTTTCAAAATAGTCATTAACTACTTATTCTAGAACTCTGTCTTGAGAGACCCAAGCTGAGCTGAAGTACTTTTCTTTTCTTCTGTGTGCCTTGAACATAAATAGCATTGGCTGATACTGAAATTCGTGATATATTAAATTATATCCTTGTATTGTGATGCAAACTGCTTGCAAGGCATGGAAATGGAGCTAGTTATCTAATAGTACAAAGGTATCTTTTGAAACAACGAAAAGTTAGAGTACCAAGGCAGTCTTAGCTATCAGTCTTGGATGTTATAATTAAATGTAGGACTTAATGGCAGCCTTGGAAAGGCAGGGTTATGTTGCAGTGAAAATAATGAGCATCTCAAGATCGGAAGAAAATATCTGATCCAGTTGAAAATAAAAGGCGGGTGTTGAGGACAGTATAATTATCTAGTAGAAGAGATTATTGTAGCTGTAAGAGTGAAAATATAATTAGCATATGGGCTAAAACACCATCATTAAAAGGAGCTTGGAGATGTTTCTTTGTTCAGTTTTTAAGTGCAAGAAACTCTTTTTCTGTTATCTTAGGCTGCCTTTGTATTTTGTTGTTCCCATATGCGTTTCTGAAGAGAGTATCTTGAAGTATGAAGGCAGAGGCATTCCTGTAAGTATATATGCATTGCTGAGGGTAAGAAATCTTATTGAGAAGGCATAATTTCAACGAGCACTTCAGATGTTACTGCATATGATATTTAGAACTTATTTTCAACCGCTCGTGCTTATACCTAGTCACCTACAGAAGGGGAAATAGCTGCTGGAAGAAGAGGTGCTTAAAGTATTCTATGTTCCCCTTAAACAGTGTGAAACAAAATGGAGGTTCACAGCCCCCATTTAGTTATATCAGGTGTTTATTGTCCTATAGTCTTCATATACTGCTAGTCTGCCTATCCTCCAGTCTGTTTTTCTTGAGAGTGAGTACTGACTGCTGTCTAGCTGGGCAGGATATAGGGGTGCGTACCCCCGGCCGCCCGGTGCCTCCAAGGTGCTTCCCCGAGGAGGAGCGGGGGAGCTTGTTGCTTCTCGAGAAGGTTTATAAATATATATATATATATAATCGGTTTTAGGCTGGTTAGGTTTTTGTGTGTGTGTGTTTGTTTGTTTTTCCTGGTGGTTCGCTTGGGTGGTTGTTGTGTGCGGTGGCCAGGTGTTGGGCTGTGGCTGTGGCGGTTCAGCCGGGGCTCTCCTGCCCCTTAACATCACTTCCAGTCTGTCCCCCGTCCCTGCAAAACTGCTGGTTTTCGGTTCCCTGGCTGCTAAAGCCCCGTCTCTCTCTTTCCTCAGCAGCTCGGTGTTGCGCCCCTGGCCGTGCAGATCTTTCAGGTTGTTCTTCCTGTTGTCCTCTCGCTTATTCATTGGAAGTTATGTTGGCAGTCTGGTTGAAGTGGGTTTAGACTCCAGTTTACTGAGGTCGTGTTGCTAGCAGATGGTATGAGATCGGTATAGTTACTCGGGATTTCTTCATTCTTATTCCTGGTAAACAGCTGTTTTCTAGGAAAACCAGTTATCATGGAAACTAGCCATTTGTGGGGTTGTGTTTTTTTTTTCCCCTCCGTAGTTCTTTGTAATCTGTGTTAAACTGATTCTTCTTCAATTCTTCAATTCTCTTGAGAGCTTCCTAAGGAAGATATTTTGGTTTGTCTTGTTTATTACTACGGAGTTGGTCAGTGGTGGGACCTTGGAGGATCAACTGGTTTTATTTTTTGCTAAATCTGAAACAACAATGCAGAGTTACTGTGGCTTAAGCCAGCTCTGCTGTTGAAAACTTATGTCCTTATTTTGTGGTAGCAGATTTGGTTTTATATCTTGTTCAGCCCTGGTGACTTGTCGTTTCATCGGTTTACTCTAAAAGCTTTCTATCTTCCTTGTATTTCCCAGTGAAAATGGAGGTAAATGATAGGGTACAAATATTTGTGGAGTCAGCAAATAAATCTCTGTGTGAAGTCAGTCTTCCACCTTAGGAAGGTATGCTGTACAAACACACAAAAAAGTATGTGCTCAAGGAACTGAATTTTGTGAAGGTAAGAGCTTCACTTGTTGGACATCTGAGAGACACTTCACTCTTTAAACAAGGATGCTGGATGATGAAAGCTGGCTGGAAAAAATGGCCAGTGGGAAAAGGTACAAGTCAAATATATGTAGTGCAGTAAAGTACCAAACAATAAAGTGTACTTCAACTTGATTATAACTACAGTAATGTAACTCTTCCTGATGGCTGCAGGAAAAATAATGAAGATTTAATCTTCCAGTATTAAATCTGGAAGGTGAAGCTCTTAATGAAATATCCTGATGCAGCAGAGCTTGCAGTCATTTGCTTTATTTATTAATGCTGCTTTTAACTGTCTCCTTGATGCTCTCAAGTTTAAGAATTTCATGGCCTCTTGCAGCAGAAGCTTTGAAATACAGGCCTGGCTTCTGCCATGGAATTGGTGTCTCTTTCACAGCTTCAAAAGCTCAGTGAAACAGGTCACATTCCAGTCGCAAGTAAAGCAAGTTTAACTCTTTACTCTGTTGGGTTTTGCTCCCTTTTTTTACAGCCTATGACTGCCTTAATGGGGTGGTTACATTAGGAAGCTGAAGACTGTAGGTTTTTATGAGGATTGAAAAGAAAACTTCAGATATATGATGAAACCTGTGAGGTTAATTGGCGATCTGGAAAAAACATGTTAATTAGATATCCAAAAATAAGCAGAAGTGAGCATGTCTCAAGGAAATGTATTCTGTATGTATGTAAGAAAAATAACTTTCTGAATGCAAGTTTCCTGTACCTGTTAACTTTCACGTAGTTGGATTTTAAAAGTAGGGCTAGACTGATAGAACAGTGGAAATACTTCAATCCCTCTTATGTGGAAAATAGTTTGGTCAGCTGGAAACTTTCCTTTCATCAATATAGTGTGACTAACACACTGCGGTGGACTAATATCCTGTCCCTTGCTTGGGGAAGAGTATAGGTGACAGGTATGTTTAGTGTCATGCTTACTCTGGTAGACCCTGTCAAAAGGTGGGAGACAGCAGTTCAGGGACTTCACGGGCTTGAGGTTGCACGTAGATAGCACTTGAGTTAATCGTGGTTTTGTCTGTCAACTTATGGAGCCTTGCCTTGAGTCTCTTTATGCTTCTGACTTGCAACAAGATTTTTCTGTCAACCGCTACGCAATACGGAGCAGTAAGAGTAGTGTTATGCCGTAGTCCCCCTTGCTTGCAACCCCCAGAGTCAGTGGGCTTGTCCTTGAAAGGTGTTTGAGACCTAAAGCTGCTGCTTTTATGTCGGGGAGCACTAAAGTAAGAAAATGCAACGGGCAGAGCTGCATTTTGTTCCAGCCTCAGATTGTTTAGTCCTTCGAAGCTACCTGAGGGACACACTGCGTAATGTTCAGAAAAATAAAATGAAGTTGGCTTTAAAACTGCTTTGGGGATTGGTTTGTTTGAATATGAGAAGAAACAGGAACTCTATTCATGCTAATATATGGCAAAATAGAAGTAAGGAGTGAACAGAAAATGCTGTTTATTAAAGGAACAGAAGTGATTTCCGCTGTGAAACCCCAGAATGTCTGGAAAAGCGGTGTTTTTGACATGTGACTAAATATAACCTAGTTGTGCTCTGCTGTATGGAACCACAGATCAATCAATGGTCTGTTGAGAGCGAGACCGTAGGATGTTGATATTAGTGACACACTTCCCCTCAGGACAGACTTGGCTACCCTGCAGGAAGTGGGGTGAATACTCGGGTATAAAGTCAATGTTTTGATATGCCTGATCATAGACTAGGAGTAATTTGTCTATGGAGACATAGAAACAAGAACCAGTGAATTACTTTGTGATTTCTAATTCTAATATTTCAAAACTGAAAGCATGTACAGGGATAACAAGCTGAATTGTATTTTCCTTAAAAATCTTAATTTGAATAAAAAAGTAGATATCAAGCTTCATTTGAAGCTTAATGGGACTTTTTGTGCATGTATTTATTCCTAAAAGTTAAATCCTTCATATTAATGCCTATAGGATCTTAGTCCTTCTGTTAGCCCTTAAACTTTAGAAGAATTTGTTCTGCTTCTTCCTGCTTGTCCCTGGGACCTGGGGTGCACCTCGGGCTGCAGAGTTGTGAGGGTGACTTTCATATCTCTTGTGCTTTGTCTCTCAGACTGTGTGTGGCTGTTAGCTCATAACCACTATGAATACTCTTTCCTTGTAAATCTTGGTCCGGTATTGTGTGTTCTGCAGTGGTGACTTTTAAAATAGTACAGCTCTCCTTCTAAACTGGAGCGATGGAATCCAAGGGTGGCACAAGGAATAGGAGTCAGCGGAGGGGACAGCTGGGCTCTGGGCTGACGTGGGGGAAGCCGGGTGTTGAAGTCAGAGGAGATGAACGGGACAATGTAAGGAAAGAGGAAAGGATAAAAGATGAAACGGACATGGAAAAAACATGCGCTATGAGCTAATGGGCTATTGGATAATGGAGCTGTGAAAGGAAGGAAAACAAGCATTTAGAGATTATTTTCAGCACTGTCACTGGGGTGTAATAAGCATCTCCTCTGGATTGTATAATGTACAACATGGGATTGGGCTTGTTTGACCAAGAAATAGTCTTTCAGAAGATACTAAGTATATATTGTGGTTTGTTTCTGAATACAAAGTTTATATATGCTAAGCATGTGCACAGGTATTTCCTCTGGTGCGTGAAATTCCAGTGGAACTGTTAGACATAAGCTTGGTTTATTTTACTCAGGAATACTGTATTCCCTTGTTGGAGCACCACAACTGAATTGCCAGTATTTTAGTATGCAGTTTGACTTTTACGTCTGATAAAGCTGTCTCAGCCCTCTGTTAGTCTTTTAGTGAAGTGTAAGTAAGAAAAAATGAACATTCACAGCAAGCCTCACCACAATGTAGAGCTTTCCTGTGGAGAGATTTCTTGTGGGAAACTATATAATAACATTAGAATATCCTGTCTTCTCACAGTAGTACTACTTGCTGTCAGCCTTGAAAGAATCTGTGCTTCAGCGAGTGCTCTCGGTACCCTAGAAGTGACAGTTATCCTACTCCCTAGAAGTGATGGCTTCCTTCATTACTGGAATATAATAAACAATGTTTTTCCCAGTATGTTTATTAAAAATGTTGTTTTCCATTGTTGGAATGAACCTCTAGCACAAGTATCTGGCTGTGGATAAATGGAAACATTACTGTGGGGTAAGGTAGGTTCAGCGTTCACAGCACGTAATTTGCAGCAGAAGACTGTATGCACGGTCTCTGCTGAGAGTGATGAGTGACATCCAATATCAATAGGCCTGTATACACGTTTTGCAATAATGATTAAAAAAAAATCCATTTTTTTTGACAAGGTCAGTGTAATCCGGATGCTGGCCTGCTGGGAATGTTTTTCACTTTTTACTCATTTTCCATCCACAGTCATTTACCTCCCTGTGGAGAGGGAGGCAAGGAACTATTCTCAATTATGGCTCTAGGAGAAAGAGTAGGAATCTCCTGCCCTGTTAGGATCCTGTTAATGTAGGATAATTGCTAGTTTATCTTACTGCCTTAATTGGGTATTGCCTCACACATGGTGGCTCTTTTGTGCTTCATCATTTGGGAAAGAGATGCTTCTTCAGACAGGCTTGGGAAGTATATTTTAGCCTCTTTACATATTTTTTGGGGGAAAAGCTGAATGCAGTCCCTCGGCATTGCAAGCTGTACAGTTGTTCTCTATACTTGGGTAAAAATCAAAAAGAAGAGGTGAGCCTTTCCCTAAGAAAAAGGCAGTTTCTCGATTGTGTTGTCTCCCCTATATTGAATCAGAAAATCTGCAAGGAGCGTGGTGTCTCCGTTCCCTGGCACTTCATGGTTTCATAGTGCTATCAGCTGAAGTCGGTTTGAACTACCAAGAAGGATGATGCATTTTAATATTGTATGGTGTGATATGTCAGCCTGCAGTTTTGGTATAGTTTGTTACTCTGTACTGTTAGAACTGATGATTTTGGGGTGTTGCTCTATTGCCTACCACGGTTTACTCTGATAACCTGGAAAAAGGAATGGAGCACGAGCTTAGCACACAGGTGGGAAACATCTCTGAGTAAGAAGTTTCTAAAACCTTTGTTTCTGCCATTCCTCATCTGCATGCTGTCCTATGGGTGTCTGCTTTTAGCTGTTGCTGGTAGTAGGTTATATCTTGAGTAAGAAGTGCCAAGATGGTGCTTGGGGCATTCAGAGCGGGGAAGCTACAGATGGAAGAAGAATCTGTCTAGAGGAGTGCTTGGCTTCCAGTGGTCATAATGGGAAGTGCTTAACTTCAACACATAGTCGGAGGGTGAAGTTTCCTGAGGTCCGAGTGGCTTTAGCAGCTTGTGGAAAGGGAGAGACTTGCTTCTGCTGCTTCCCTTTCTTTTGTTTCTGTGCTCATCTGACCTGTTGATGAGCCAGTTCTGCTAACAATAGGCAGTAACAACAAAACCAAATGTAGCACAAGTACAGACTTTCCGGCTGATCTTAGGAACCAAACTACCTCACCGTGTATTCAGACAAACCCTGGCATAAAAGGAGTATGAACTGTATGACTTGATTAAAGGGGTGTTGAGAAGCCTGCACTTTAGTGTCAGCCAGCTCTTAAGTTAGGACTAAGATCTGTGTTGCCCCCGAACTCAAATTGATTAGAAAAATAAAGTTGAGACAAAGTGGAGATATTAGCTAAATTTATGGGTTCCTACACAATTTGCACTGACTCACGGTGAGTTAACAAGTTTCTTTCATGAAGATCTTTGCCTTCTCTCTTAAAAGAGCAACTATGAAATATGACATTAGTAGAATTTAATGTATTTTAATATTTACCCTTTGAAAATGAGTACAGCAGCTTGGACTCTTCAGCAATGTTGATGGCTTGCATTCTAGCTAACCCCAGTGCATATGTATGAAAAAAATCTTTAAAATATTTACGATTTTATTATAGGAATATAAATGTTGACTTTCAAACAGAACTCTTCTGGACGCTCAGCTCTTGGAAGCTGTTATATGTTATAGGAATTCTGCATATAGTAAGCACTTTGATGTCTGTGGGGTTTTTGTCAACAAAGAGTGAAACTGGATTTTGCAAGCCGACCTCAGTGTTTGACTGAGGTCTCTCTATTCTGCTGTGATGCTATGTAATTAAAATTCTAATTCCTTTCAGAAAATAACAAATTTAACTTGTAACCAAACCCCAAACCACTAGTTCAAAATTATTTGCCTCTATGAAACACTTATTGTAAAAGATTCACTGTATTTTAACAAATGGAAGTAAGGTCAGAGAACTTCTCTGGGTTCAAATATATTTTATTTTTGGTCATATCTGCCAACACTAGTATAAACTGGTACTCTTAGTAATAAGTATGAATGTTGAAGCAGTGTGTATATATAAACAGTAGTTATTACATGCCTTATGGTATCTCCCAAAGTAAAAGTTACTGGGAAGACACCTAGTGAGTATACTACTTTACTGTTCTGTAGCAGTGATTGTTAACATTTAATTTGTAAGCAAACAGGGTTGCATTTAATTGCACACAAATTGTGGCAGTAGAAGACATAGCTATAAAGGCAACAGTAAACCCAAAGTTCAGCTGAGAGCTACCAGTGGGGAAGAGACAACATTGGGGAAACGTGTATGTATTTCTGCTCTGAATGCAGCAGTGTTCAGTTTGAGCCATGTTTGCTTAGTAAGTTATTTAGCTGGCAAGCCTGAACTTAGAATAAAGTTTTCTTGTACAACATTCAGACTTAGAAGTCAAAGGCAGCAAACTGTATTTTTCTTTCTGCATAAGCTGCCAGATGTAGTTACAGATTTCTTTCTTTGCACCACCACAACTTCATTTTGTAACCTTTACCTCTTTTCAACCTGTCTTGAATGTCTCTGCTGTTCTCATGACATGGTTTCCTGGTGGTTTTAGTTTTGCTATGGAGTCTTCAAGTTTTGTTTTGGGTCTTCTGGGTGTTGAGAGCAAGTGTTTATATGAATGACCAAAGGGGATATTTTTATGCTCTTTAGAGGCTTTTGTTTCTCTGTATTTAATCCAGAAAAACTGTTATTGCTTATGTCTCCTTTTGATTGCTGGCCTTGATTTGCAATATCTGACTTTGGATGCTGGTGACAAACTAAAATTAGCATGCTTACTGCTGTGGCCCCAGGGAGCTCTCCAGTTAACTAATAGTTTTCCAGAAGGACTCCAGTGCATGAGAAGTGATTCCGACTTAGAGGAGGAAGTTCTGAACTGGCTAAGCAGGAAGGGTGTAACGTGTCCTCTCATTAATAGTCTTCAGCTGGAGATTTTAGCCCAACTATCAGTGCCTCAAGGCTAGAATAAGTGATACTGAGAGTTTAGTAGGTTTGGTTTGTGCACTTTGTGTCCAAACTAGAGGATATCCTGTGACTGGTTTTACGTCTTGGCTCTGAGATTCTGAAATTCCTTTTCCTATAATCTTGGTAGCACTGTTTAAGTTACTTTTGTACTTCGTTTGCAATAAGACATGTAAGAAAATCAGATACAGATAATGAAGGATGAGGCTTGCAAAACTGTGAAGGGTACATTAGAAATAAATATTAAGTCCTATGTGGAAAAGCTTATGAATGAACTCTGGGAGATGGTGGTGTAATACTAAGTTTATGCTTATCCATTTGCATGTGCTGAGAGAACTTACAAAATATTGGTAATGCTTTATTTCTGTCCGTTACATGTACAAGTAATGCATTTCCTCCTGTATTCACAATTGCATGTGACTGACACTGTGGGTGTTAAACCACTGAATTATTCAGCCAGTAGACTACTTACCTTTAGGAGAAGGAGCACATTGCGAATTTAATTTAGGAAGTTTTTCCCTTAATTTGCTTATTTGCTAGAATGTGAGGAATTTAATTAAGAGGGAGGGTGTTGTTTTTTACATCATGTGTTGAACATATGAACTTTGCTAAGTAATAATTACTCTTTCTCTCTTCAGGAAATACACATAAAAGAATGCATAGAAAAAGAAGTAAATCCTCACTTATTACCAGGTAACTGTTGTGTATTATAGTATTAGAATTAAATAATAAAAATTAGTCATGTAAACAATATTTCAATATTCCCATGTGTGCACCAACGTTCATATGACATCGGTGTCCCAAGTAGTAAAATAGAGGTTTTGGTGTAACAGCCCAGACAGGTTTAAATGTTTTAAATATCAGTTCTACATGGGTTGTTGAAAAAAAGTACAAAAATTGAAGTCTTTATAGAGTACAGTGTCTTCCTGTAAGCTGCCTGTGGAGAACTGTCTATACTTCAGTTTGCCCTGTTTCTTAAAAGATAAAGTTAGGTGTTTGGGAACTAAAGACCAAGAACTAGTGGATGCTTGCTTTCTAGTTGCATTGCTTCTACTTGAGTTACTTAGGCCTTTGATGCCTCATTCGCTAAGACATTTTTTTTTCTTACATTTACAACACTTTATTTTTAAATAATGTTTTCCAAATTTAGGAAAGATGAAATTATTATGATAAAATACAAGTAGAAGCTTAGAATAAATGTGTATTGTTCTGTTTGGTCTTCTACACTTCATAGGAGAGACCAAAAGCCTGGCTGACTATACTTATGAAAACCTGTTTTTACTTTCTTAAACTTGCTGTTCAGTTCCTGCTTATTTTAGGATTAGAACTTCATTGACCATTATTTATGCCAACTTGTGTTTGAGAACTTTAAAATAGCCCTGGGACCTGTAAAGAAAGCAGCATCTCCAGTCAAAGCTGTGAAAAATTAACTAAGATGAACTTGTAATAACTAACTCAAATGTTTCAGCAATCTTAGTAAGGAAAATTAAAACAGTTTTCAACTTGTTTATCGACTGTATTAACTACTTTGCAGTGGGCTTTTTTTTTCTGTTTTGAGTACATACTCGTATGATTGCTCTTTGCAGCTCCAGATGTTGTTCTCCTACCACCTGGAGTAGGCCATGATACAGTTCTGTACCTCTGCTTACAGAACCCCAAAACTTCTGCAGTTGAACAATGTTCAGCCCATCTTGAGTAATGTTAATAACCTGAAAAGCTCTCAGTGTACTGTTCCAGGAGTTGCCTCTTAGTCTTTTTGTATAACAGTGATGAAATATCTTCAGGGGCACAGTTATGAGAAGCTGTCAGGAGGTTAGTGCTAAGTTTAAGGTAACAGTTGAAATAATTCAGTTATAAATGTCAGTTATGTTGCAAGTCGGTGTTTCTTTTACACAGGTGAACTGTTGCTTTGTGAGGCAAGCACAGTGTACAAGTATATACAAGAAGATGGGTCAAATCGTGGCACCTACGGGAAACTTGTATGCACAAACTTCAAGATTGCTTTCCTTGATGATGATTCTGCTTCGGACGATAACGTAGGAAGACAAGTCTTCTAATTATGACCAAACAGGCTTTGAGGCATACACTGTTCTTGACTATATAATCATCTTTCTCTATATGGATACAGGAAAAAACGTAGATTTATAAAAAGTTTTGATGGCTGCAGACTAATTTTAATCAATCTGCCTTTGCTTGGTCTATGCAGATCCTTCTTCAGGCTCTAATGACTAAGTAAAAATGGTGCCAGCCTGTATGTGGACGCTTACAAAGAGTTATAAAATATATCTAATGTATCTTGTGAGTTGGTGATTTTGTGAGGCTTAAGCTAAAAGAATGAATTGTTCTGAAAATTAAATCAATAGTTTGCTTAAACCTGATTTCTGAGTGCTTATCTAGTAGCAATTGCAAGAGTGGGAATGTCAAACATACTTACAATGTCATATAACATCTGGCTGACTTTGGGCTACATCTGCAGAACTGTTTTGGGGCTGCACAAGACTGAGTAAGCTGATTTCAGTGGAAATCCTGTAGATAATTGTTTGTGTGGCTCAGTAAAGCTCTGAATTATTCCATTCAAAGTCAGATGTTGACTGCAAAGATTTAAAAACCTGGCACTATTGAGTTGGAAACACTGAAAAAGGTGAAAAAGTCCCCAAATCTTAGAAATCAGTTGAATCTTGTTTCCTTTATTTTAGATGCTCAACTTGAGCTGTCAAAGGGCTGCCACACCTTTTTTTTATGTGCTAAGCATGTGAAGCAATCTAGTCTACTTAGGTGATAAAAGTGAAGGAGAGAGCCTGTTTTATTACTTTCCAATGCAAGGTGATCTTGATAGTGAAGAAGAATGAGAATATGATTTGACACACGTTAATTGTAGTTGCAAGTTTCTTGAGTAAAATTTCAGGGAGTTAAAATGTTGAACTGAGGCTTCTGTAGCCAAGTATAAATTTTTGGACCTTCTGGAATTAATTTGGACAGAGCTGCAGAACCCTTTCCACAGATCATGTGAGATTTATTCTAAAGCTGGTAGTGACCATGCTAATTTCTGTTCTGTAACTGACTTGAAATCTTCGGTTTATAGCATGCCAAGTCAACTCTGTTTCTCTTAACAAAAGTTCGGTATTAGTCGCCTGATTCAGAGTACTGCAGACCTGGAAATAACTTGAGTGAGGTTAACTCTGTTCTCAGCTGTTTTCATGTAAAATGTAACTTGCTGATGTAGTGTACATCAACCTTCTGGCAATAGTATTTAACATAACAGTGTTTAATTGAGGCATCACTTAAATGTCATCTTTAACTCTGAACTCGTGGAAGGGAGCCCCAGATCACTTCAAGTTTGGCAGAACAGTAGATAAGAGAATTGGGCTCTTCATTTTACCCAGTGATAAATCTGGCTGTTATGTTGGAATATTCCTGGGATACTTGTTCTTTTAAGAGACTTTCTATTTCCTGCCAGGTTCTCATAGCAAGGAAACTTGTCATAAAAGGGCTTGAATTACATCAAGTTACTGTATTTCCTGTTTACTGCAATGATTCTAGTTTGAAAAGTGACTCAATAGAAAAGCGTGCTTTGAAGCTATTTGAAAAGTAAAAATACTATCTGCATTTCAAGTATGGCTGAGACACAGTTTATAAATTACACCTGTGCAACCTGCATCTGTCTGTATTTTAATAACTTTTCTTCACTGTTCTGCCTTACACAGCTTATAAGAAGTAATACTGATATCAAAATATGTATGGAATACATCTTTTACTTGTGAGAAAGTGCTACTGCGTAGTAAAGTGAGATTTCTAAGAATTTTTTTTCACATTCTAGGAGCCACAACTTAAGAATAAGATTGTAGGAGAAAACGACATAACCCTGCAATGTGTAGATCAAATCTATGGAGGTAAGTCAGCTTTCTCTTCATTTAACATACCTCACATTGAGTGTCTTATAGCGCTGATGCTTTTAGTTTATACTCATACCTCCTTTTCAGAAAACTGATGGAGTTGTCAACTAGGATTGGGCAGTCTGGAAAAAACAGCTGCAGTTGTATTTAATGATGAAATGACGATTTGAGATCTGTCAGAATCCAGTCTTGTCCCTCAAGGTTGTCAAAGCTACATCTTGGTTAAATATCTTGCAGGGACAGACAAAATAATTCCTTCAAAATGCCACGCAAAGAAGAGTGTAGTGTGAAAAGTCTGTGATTAAGATTGGTACACAACGACCCTCCAGTGTATCAGCTATAAGTATGGAGGTGTTCACTTCATTTGAGCCATAGTACTGCAGAGCAGTACAAGTACCAGATTCCCAAACTATATATTTTGTTTGTCTAAAGAAACTTTGGTTTATGAGATTTATAATGCTTTCAAAATATCAAAGGAGATGGGAAAACGAGGTTTTAATTTACAAGTAAATCAGTGAGTGTTTTGCAGCAGGGCTGGCAGGTATGGCTGTATTGCTAAAAAGGGTAAATGAGAATGGGGCTGGTAATTTGTACATAGTGGGGAGGGCTTTATTGAGAAGCCTGACTTTGGACTAGTGTTAAGACTATTAGGAGTATCCATGAATGGTGGTTTGGATTCATACAGGAGCGTCCTAGGGGGAGACTACTGGAAGCTGGTGCTAAGACACTGTTTAGTTTCACGTACAATAGCCTAGCTGGCAGCACTTGAAGTTGTGAAATGATACATCCTCAAACAGAAGTGAACGAAGGCCTCTCTTGGGGATTTTGTGGTGGTTAAAAAAAAAATAGGCTTTTTTAGGAACTTAAAATTATCTCAGTTGTTTGGGGACTTTCCCTTGGGCAAAACTACTAAATTATGTTCTTTATGCATCTCAGAACTTTGTACATCCTAGGCAGGCAGCATGTGAACAGAAAAAATGGCTGAGCAGCTGGCTTACTGCAAGTTTGGTTTCTACCTTGCAGGAAATAGTTTGAGTGGGTTTAAGAAAAAATTGAGTGTATGTCAGTCTGTGTTGTAGGATGCTTGTTTTGACTTGCTAAAACTTGGGCTTGAATTAGGTTCTTGAGAATTTGGAAAAGTCAAGCAGGGATAGCTGTACCAATTGATGTCAAAGTTCTTTTTGATATTTACTTAGACTTTCTAATTTTGCAGTTTATGATGAGAAAAAGAAACTTCTAACTGGACAATTGAGAAAATACCCAGAGAAGCTAATTATCTACTGTAAAGATCTTAGAGTATTTCATTTCTGCCTGAGATACACAAAAGAAGAAGAAGTGAAAAGAGTAAGTATAATAAATTAATTTGTGTGTCTTTAAGCTTAGTGTTGGGTATTTAGCTGTGGGGATGAGGAAAGGATGATATTCACCTGGAGAGATCCCTTTAAGTGTTTTCTGGTTGAGAGAGAAGATAAAAGACTTTGATTTCTAGCTAACCTTACTCACTAAACATTGCTATGTGTGGCAGTTAAAAAGATCAGATGCGCTGGCTCTTTGAAGAAAACTGGAGCTTGTGAGTACTATATGGAACTAGCTTCGGCTCAGGCAAAATTGCAAAGCTGTTCAATTTGTAATATGTAATTTTATTACACTTTAGATGTTTTTCTTTTTCGTATGAAAGCAGTTATTTTCATAGAATGGTTAGACTTGGAAGGGACCTTAAAGATCATTGAGTTCCAACCCCCCTGCCATGGGCAGGGACACCTCCCACTAGCCCAGGTTGCTCAAAGCCCCATCCAGCCTGGCCTTGAACCCCTCCAGGGATGGGGCAGCCACAGCTTCTCTGGGCAACCTGTTCCAGTGTCTCACCACCCTCACAGGAAAGAATTTCTTCCTGTTATCTGATCTAAATATCCCTTATCTCAGCTTAAAACCATTACCCCTTGTCCTATCATGATACTCCCTGATAAAGAGTCCTTTGCCAGCTCTCCTGTAGGCTCCCTTTAGGTACAGGCTTTTCAGGAAGGTCTCCCCAGAGCCTTCTCTTCTCCAGGCTGAACAATCCCAACTCTCTCAGCCTGTCTTCATAGGAGAGGTGTTCCAGCCCTCATAATCTTTGTGGTCCCCCTTTGGACTCACTCCAGCAGGTCCATGTCTTTACTGTCTGAGGGCTCCAGAGCTGGATGCAGTACTCCAGGTGGGGTCTCACGTGCGCAGAGTAGAGGGTAGAATCTACTTTGCCTTCTGGGCTGTGAGTTTGCTGGCTCACGGTGAGCTTCTCATTAACCAACATCCTCAAGTCTCCTCAGGGCTGTTCTTAATCCATTCTCCGCCCAGCCTGTATTTTGCTTAGGATTGCCTTGACCCACATGCAGGACCTTGCACTTGGCCTTGTTGAACTTCTTGAGGTTTGCACAGGCCCACCTCTCAAGGCTGTCCAGATCCCTCTGGATGGTATCCCTTCCCTCCAATGTGTCAACTGCTCCACACAGCTTGGTGTTGTTGGCAAATTTGCTGAGAGTGCACTCTATTCCACTATCCATGGCACCAGCAAAGATGTTAAACAGCACCAGTCCCAGTACTGACCTGAGAAACACCACTCGTCACTGCTTGCTACCCTGACGTCGAGCCACTGACTGCAACTCTTTGAGTATGGCCATCCAGCCAGTTCCTTATTCACTGCATGGTCCATCCATCAAATCATTGTCTCTCTAAATTAGAGGCAAGGATGTCAAGTGGGAGAGTGTGAAATGCTTTGCATAAGTCCAGGTAGATGAAGTCTGTTGCTTGCCCCTTATCTACCATGCTGTAACCTTATTGTAGAAGGCCACCAAATTTGTCAGGCACAATTTGTCTTTAGTGAAGCCATGTTGCCTGTCATCAATCACCTCCTTATTTTCCATGTGCCTTAGCAGAGTTTCCAGGAGGATCTGCTGCATGAGCTTCCCGGGCACAGAGGTGAGACCAACCAGCCTGTAGTTCCCCAGGTCTTCCTTTTTTCCCCTTTTTAAAAATGAGGGTTATTTTTCCCCTTCTCCAGTCAGTGGGAACTTCACCAGACTGCCACAACTTTTCAAATATCATGGATAGTGGCTTAGCACCTTCATCCACCAGTTCCCTCAGGACCTGCGGATGTATCTCATAGGGTTCTGTGGATTTCAGGTTCTTTAGATGGTCTCAAACTTGGTCGTCTCCTACAGTGGGAGGTTCTTCATCCTCCCAGTCGCTGCCTTCACCTTCTGTGATCTGGGTGGTGTGGCTAGAGTGCTAGCTGGTGAAGACCAAGGCAAAAAGGTCATTGAGCACCTTGGTCTTGTCCATGTTCCAGGTGACTAGGTCTGTCATTTCCTTCTGGAGAGGGACCACATTTTCCCTAGTCTTCCTTTTATCACTGATGTACCTATAGAAGCTTTTCTTGTTGCCCTTGACATGCCTGGCCAGATTTTACTCTACCTGGGCTTTAGCTTTCCTGACCTGATCCCTGGCTGCTCAGTTTCTCTGTGTTCCTCTTAGGCTGCTGGTACTTGCTTCCGCCTTCTGTAGGGCGCCTTCTTCTGTTTCAGGCTGTCCAGGAGTTCCTTGTTCATCCACGCAGTCTTCCTGGTGTTTTTCACTTCCTCTTTGTTGTTTGTCTTTTCTTTTCTTTCTTTCCCTTTAATCCTGAACCATAAGCTCTTGGTGGGCTCCTCATCCGTCCTCCCCAGGTGGAGCTCCATGCACTCCAGCTGGTCATTGACATAGAGGGCGACACCCCCTCCTCCTCTCCCATGTCTATCCTTCCATCCTGTATCCTCCCATTCCAACACTCCAGTCATGGGAGCCATCCCACTAGGAGTCATCTGTCATGCCAGTAAGATACCCCTGCAGGCATGCACACATCTCTAACTCCTCTTTTGCTACGTGCATTTGCATAGAGGCATTTAAGTTGGGTCCCTGATGACTTTCTGGTAACTCAAGTTCTTTTGTGTTGCTGTTTAACCCCAGCTGGCAGCTAGAACCACACAGCTGCTCTCTCACTTCCCCCAGTCGCGATGGGGGAGAGGATCAGAAGAGTAACAGTGAGGAAAAACTTGTGGGAAGAGATGAAGACAGTTTAATAGGTAGAGCACAAACCGTGCACGCAAGCAAAGTAAAACAAGGAGTTAATTCACTGCTTCCCATGGGCAGGCAGGTGTTCAGCCATCCCCAGGAAAGCAGGGCTCCATCACATGTAATGGGTCCTTGGGAAGACAGACACCGTAACTCCCCCTTCTTTTTCCCCCCGGTTTTATATGCTGAGCATGATGTCACATGGCATGGAATATCCCCTTGGTCAGTTGGGGTCAGCTGTCCTGGCTGTGTCCCCTCCCAGCTTCTGGTGTTCCCCCAGTCTGCTTGCTGGTGGGGCAGTATGAGGAGCACAAAAGGCCTTGAGAGCTTAGTAGCAACCAAAACCACCAGCGCATGCTGGGAATGTTTTTCACTTTTTACTCATTTTCCATCCACAGTCATTTACCTCCCTGTGGAGAGGGAGGCAAGGAACTATTCTCAATTATGGCTCTAGGAGAAAGAGTAGGAATCTCCTGCCCTGTTAGGATCCTGTTAATGTAGGATAATTGCTAGTTTATCTTACTGCCTTAATTGGGTATTGCCTCACACATGGTGGCTCTTTTGTGCTTCATCATTTGGGAAAGAGATGCTTCTTCAGACAGGCTTGGGAAGTATATTTTAGCCTCTTTACATATTTTTTGGGGGAAAAGCTGAATGCAGTCCCTCGGCATTGCAAGCTGTACAGTTGTTCTCTATACTTGGGTAAAAATCAAAAAGAAGAGGTGAGCCTTTCCCTAAGAAAAAGGCAGTTTCTCGATTGTGTTGTCTCCCCTATATTGAATCAGAAAATCTGCAAGGAGCGTGGTGTCTCCGTTCCCTGGCACTTCATGGTTTCATAGTGCTATCAGCTGAAGTCGGTTTGAACTACCAAGAAGGATGATGCATTTTAATATTGTATGGTGTGATATGTCAGCCTGCAGTTTTGGTATAGTTTGTTACTCTGTACTGTTAGAACTGATGATTTTGGGGTGTTGCTCTATTGCCTACCACGGTTTACTCTGATAACCTGGAAAAAGGAATGGAGCACGAGCTTAGCACACAGGTGGGAAACATCTCTGAGTAAGAAGTTTCTAAAACCTTTGTTTCTGCCATTCCTCATCTGCATGCTGTCCTATGGGTGTCTGCTTTTAGCTGTTGCTGGTAGTAGGTTATATCTTGAGTAAGAAGTGCCAAGATGGTGCTTGGGGCATTCAGAGCGGGGAAGCTACAGATGGAAGAAGAATCTGTCTAGAGGAGTGCTTGGCTTCCAGTGGTCATAATGGGAAGTGCTTAACTTCAACACATAGTCGGAGGGTGAAGTTTCCTGAGGTCCGAGTGGCTTTAGCAGCTTGTGGAAAGGGAGAGACTTGCTTCTGCTGCTTCCCTTTCTTTTGTTTCTGTGCTCATCTGACCTGTTGATGAGCCAGTTCTGCTAACAATAGGCAGTAACAACAAAACCAAATGTAGCACAAGTACAGACTTTCCGGCTGATCTTAGGAACCAAACTACCTCACCGTGTATTCAGACAAACCCTGGCATAAAAGGAGTATGAACTGTATGACTTGATTAAAGGGGTGTTGAGAAGCCTGCACTTTAGTGTCAGCCAGCTCTTAAGTTAGGACTAAGATCTGTGTTGCCCCCGAACTCAAATTGATTAGAAAAATAAAGTTGAGACAAAGTGGAGATATTAGCTAAATTTATGGGTTCCTACACAATTTGCACTGACTCACGGTGAGTTAACAAGTTTCTTTCATGAAGATCTTTGCCTTCTCTCTTAAAAGAGCAACTATGAAATATGACATTAGTAGAATTTAATGTATTTTAATATTTACCCTTTGAAAATGAGTACAGCAGCTTGGACTCTTCAGCAATGTTGATGGCTTGCATTCTAGCTAACCCCAGTGCATATGTATGAAAAAAATCTTTAAAATATTTACGATTTTATTATAGGAATATAAATGTTGACTTTCAAACAGAACTCTTCTGGACGCTCAGCTCTTGGAAGCTGTTATATGTTATAGGAATTCTGCATATAGTAAGCACTTTGATGTCTGTGGGGTTTTTGTCAACAAAGAGTGAAACTGGATTTTGCAAGCCGACCTCAGTGTTTGACTGAGGTCTCTCTATTCTGCTGTGATGCTATGTAATTAAAATTCTAATTCCTTTCAGAAAATAACAAATTTAACTTGTAACCAAACCCCAAACCACTAGTTCAAAATTATTTGCCTCTATGAAACACTTATTGTAAAAGATTCACTGTATTTTAACAAATGGAAGTAAGGTCAGAGAACTTCTCTGGGTTCAAATATATTTTATTTTTGGTCATATCTGCCAACACTAGTATAAACTGGTACTCTTAGTAATAAGTATGAATGTTGAAGCAGTGTGTATATATAAACAGTAGTTATTACATGCCTTATGGTATCTCCCAAAGTAAAAGTTACTGGGAAGACACCTAGTGAGTATACTACTTTACTGTTCTGTAGCAGTGATTGTTAACATTTAATTTGTAAGCAAACAGGGTTGCATTTAATTGCACACAAATTGTGGCAGTAGAAGACATAGCTATAAAGGCAACAGTAAACCCAAAGTTCAGCTGAGAGCTACCAGTGGGGAAGAGACAACATTGGGGAAACGTGTATGTATTTCTGCTCTGAATGCAGCAGTGTTCAGTTTGAGCCATGTTTGCTTAGTAAGTTATTTAGCTGGCAAGCCTGAACTTAGAATAAAGTTTTCTTGTACAACATTCAGACTTAGAAGTCAAAGGCAGCAAACTGTATTTTTCTTTCTGCATAAGCTGCCAGATGTAGTTACAGATTTCTTTCTTTGCACCACCACAACTTCATTTTGTAACCTTTACCTCTTTTCAACCTGTCTTGAATGTCTCTGCTGTTCTCATGACATGGTTTCCTGGTGGTTTTAGTTTTGCTATGGAGTCTTCAAGTTTTGTTTTGGGTCTTCTGGGTGTTGAGAGCAAGTGTTTATATGAATGACCAAAGGGGATATTTTTATGCTCTTTAGAGGCTTTTGTTTCTCTGTATTTAATCCAGAAAAACTGTTATTGCTTATGTCTCCTTTTGATTGCTGGCCTTGATTTGCAATATCTGACTTTGGATGCTGGTGACAAACTAAAATTAGCATGCTTACTGCTGTGGCCCCAGGGAGCTCTCCAGTTAACTAATAGTTTTCCAGAAGGACTCCAGTGCATGAGAAGTGATTCCGACTTAGAGGAGGAAGTTCTGAACTGGCTAAGCAGGAAGGGTGTAACGTGTCCTCTCATTAATAGTCTTCAGCTGGAGATTTTAGCCCAACTATCAGTGCCTCAAGGCTAGAATAAGTGATACTGAGAGTTTAGTAGGTTTGGTTTGTGCACTTTGTGTCCAAACTAGAGGATATCCTGTGACTGGTTTTACGTCTTGGCTCTGAGATTCTGAAATTCCTTTTCCTATAATCTTGGTAGCACTGTTTAAGTTACTTTTGTACTTCGTTTGCAATAAGACATGTAAGAAAATCAGATACAGATAATGAAGGATGAGGCTTGCAAAACTGTGAAGGGTACATTAGAAATAAATATTAAGTCCTATGTGGAAAAGCTTATGAATGAACTCTGGGAGATGGTGGTGTAATACTAAGTTTATGCTTATCCATTTGCATGTGCTGAGAGAACTTACAAAATATTGGTAATGCTTTATTTCTGTCCGTTACATGTACAAGTAATGCATTTCCTCCTGTATTCACAATTGCATGTGACTGACACTGTGGGTGTTAAACCACTGAATTATTCAGCCAGTAGACTACTTACCTTTAGGAGAAGGAGCACATTGCGAATTTAATTTAGGAAGTTTTTCCCTTAATTTGCTTATTTGCTAGAATGTGAGGAATTTAATTAAGAGGGAGGGTGTTGTTTTTTACATCATGTGTTGAACATATGAACTTTGCTAAGTAATAATTACTCTTTCTCTCTTCAGGAAATACACATAAAAGAATGCATAGAAAAAGAAGTAAATCCTCACTTATTACCAGGTAACTGTTGTGTATTATAGTATTAGAATTAAATAATAAAAATTAGTCATGTAAACAATATTTCAATATTCCCATGTGTGCACCAACGTTCATATGACATCGGTGTCCCAAGTAGTAAAATAGAGGTTTTGGTGTAACAGCCCAGACAGGTTTAAATGTTTTAAATATCAGTTCTACATGGGTTGTTGAAAAAAAGTACAAAAATTGAAGTCTTTATAGAGTACAGTGTCTTCCTGTAAGCTGCCTGTGGAGAACTGTCTATACTTCAGTTTGCCCTGTTTCTTAAAAGATAAAGTTAGGTGTTTGGGAACTAAAGACCAAGAACTAGTGGATGCTTGCTTTCTAGTTGCATTGCTTCTACTTGAGTTACTTAGGCCTTTGATGCCTCATTCGCTAAGACATTTTTTTTTCTTACATTTACAACACTTTATTTTTAAATAATGTTTTCCAAATTTAGGAAAGATGAAATTATTATGATAAAATACAAGTAGAAGCTTAGAATAAATGTGTATTGTTCTGTTTGGTCTTCTACACTTCATAGGAGAGACCAAAAGCCTGGCTGACTATACTTATGAAAACCTGTTTTTACTTTCTTAAACTTGCTGTTCAGTTCCTGCTTATTTTAGGATTAGAACTTCATTGACCATTATTTATGCCAACTTGTGTTTGAGAACTTTAAAATAGCCCTGGGACCTGTAAAGAAAGCAGCATCTCCAGTCAAAGCTGTGAAAAATTAACTAAGATGAACTTGTAATAACTAACTCAAATGTTTCAGCAATCTTAGTAAGGAAAATTAAAACAGTTTTCAACTTGTTTATCGACTGTATTAACTACTTTGCAGTGGGCTTTTTTTTTCTGTTTTGAGTACATACTCGTATGATTGCTCTTTGCAGCTCCAGATGTTGTTCTCCTACCACCTGGAGTAGGCCATGATACAGTTCTGTACCTCTGCTTACAGAACCCCAAAACTTCTGCAGTTGAACAATGTTCAGCCCATCTTGAGTAATGTTAATAACCTGAAAAGCTCTCAGTGTACTGTTCCAGGAGTTGCCTCTTAGTCTTTTTGTATAACAGTGATGAAATATCTTCAGGGGCACAGTTATGAGAAGCTGTCAGGAGGTTAGTGCTAAGTTTAAGGTAACAGTTGAAATAATTCAGTTATAAATGTCAGTTATGTTGCAAGTCGGTGTTTCTTTTACACAGGTGAACTGTTGCTTTGTGAGGCAAGCACAGTGTACAAGTATATACAAGAAGATGGGTCAAATCGTGGCACCTACGGGAAACTTGTATGCACAAACTTCAAGATTGCTTTCCTTGATGATGATTCTGCTTCGGACGATAACGTAGGAAGACAAGTCTTCTAATTATGACCAAACAGGCTTTGAGGCATACACTGTTCTTGACTATATAATCATCTTTCTCTATATGGATACAGGAAAAAACGTAGATTTATAAAAAGTTTTGATGGCTGCAGACTAATTTTAATCAATCTGCCTTTGCTTGGTCTATGCAGATCCTTCTTCAGGCTCTAATGACTAAGTAAAAATGGTGCCAGCCTGTATGTGGACGCTTACAAAGAGTTATAAAATATATCTAATGTATCTTGTGAGTTGGTGATTTTGTGAGGCTTAAGCTAAAAGAATGAATTGTTCTGAAAATTAAATCAATAGTTTGCTTAAACCTGATTTCTGAGTGCTTATCTAGTAGCAATTGCAAGAGTGGGAATGTCAAACATACTTACAATGTCATATAACATCTGGCTGACTTTGGGCTACATCTGCAGAACTGTTTTGGGGCTGCACAAGACTGAGTAAGCTGATTTCAGTGGAAATCCTGTAGATAATTGTTTGTGTGGCTCAGTAAAGCTCTGAATTATTCCATTCAAAGTCAGATGTTGACTGCAAAGATTTAAAAACCTGGCACTATTGAGTTGGAAACACTGAAAAAGGTGAAAAAGTCCCCAAATCTTAGAAATCAGTTGAATCTTGTTTCCTTTATTTTAGATGCTCAACTTGAGCTGTCAAAGGGCTGCCACACCTTTTTTTTATGTGCTAAGCATGTGAAGCAATCTAGTCTACTTAGGTGATAAAAGTGAAGGAGAGAGCCTGTTTTATTACTTTCCAATGCAAGGTGATCTTGATAGTGAAGAAGAATGAGAATATGATTTGACACACGTTAATTGTAGTTGCAAGTTTCTTGAGTAAAATTTCAGGGAGTTAAAATGTTGAACTGAGGCTTCTGTAGCCAAGTATAAATTTTTGGACCTTCTGGAATTAATTTGGACAGAGCTGCAGAACCCTTTCCACAGATCATGTGAGATTTATTCTAAAGCTGGTAGTGACCATGCTAATTTCTGTTCTGTAACTGACTTGAAATCTTCGGTTTATAGCATGCCAAGTCAACTCTGTTTCTCTTAACAAAAGTTCGGTATTAGTCGCCTGATTCAGAGTACTGCAGACCTGGAAATAACTTGAGTGAGGTTAACTCTGTTCTCAGCTGTTTTCATGTAAAATGTAACTTGCTGATGTAGTGTACATCAACCTTCTGGCAATAGTATTTAACATAACAGTGTTTAATTGAGGCATCACTTAAATGTCATCTTTAACTCTGAACTCGTGGAAGGGAGCCCCAGATCACTTCAAGTTTGGCAGAACAGTAGATAAGAGAATTGGGCTCTTCATTTTACCCAGTGATAAATCTGGCTGTTATGTTGGAATATTCCTGGGATACTTGTTCTTTTAAGAGACTTTCTATTTCCTGCCAGGTTCTCATAGCAAGGAAACTTGTCATAAAAGGGCTTGAATTACATCAAGTTACTGTATTTCCTGTTTACTGCAATGATTCTAGTTTGAAAAGTGACTCAATAGAAAAGCGTGCTTTGAAGCTATTTGAAAAGTAAAAATACTATCTGCATTTCAAGTATGGCTGAGACACAGTTTATAAATTACACCTGTGCAACCTGCATCTGTCTGTATTTTAATAACTTTTCTTCACTGTTCTGCCTTACACAGCTTATAAGAAGTAATACTGATATCAAAATATGTATGGAATACATCTTTTACTTGTGAGAAAGTGCTACTGCGTAGTAAAGTGAGATTTCTAAGAATTTTTTTTCACATTCTAGGAGCCACAACTTAAGAATAAGATTGTAGGAGAAAACGACATAACCCTGCAATGTGTAGATCAAATCTATGGAGGTAAGTCAGCTTTCTCTTCATTTAACATACCTCACATTGAGTGTCTTATAGCGCTGATGCTTTTAGTTTATACTCATACCTCCTTTTCAGAAAACTGATGGAGTTGTCAACTAGGATTGGGCAGTCTGGAAAAAACAGCTGCAGTTGTATTTAATGATGAAATGACGATTTGAGATCTGTCAGAATCCAGTCTTGTCCCTCAAGGTTGTCAAAGCTACATCTTGGTTAAATATCTTGCAGGGACAGACAAAATAATTCCTTCAAAATGCCACGCAAAGAAGAGTGTAGTGTGAAAAGTCTGTGATTAAGATTGGTACACAACGACCCTCCAGTGTATCAGCTATAAGTATGGAGGTGTTCACTTCATTTGAGCCATAGTACTGCAGAGCAGTACAAGTACCAGATTCCCAAACTATATATTTTGTTTGTCTAAAGAAACTTTGGTTTATGAGATTTATAATGCTTTCAAAATATCAAAGGAGATGGGAAAACGAGGTTTTAATTTACAAGTAAATCAGTGAGTGTTTTGCAGCAGGGCTGGCAGGTATGGCTGTATTGCTAAAAAGGGTAAATGAGAATGGGGCTGGTAATTTGTACATAGTGGGGAGGGCTTTATTGAGAAGCCTGACTTTGGACTAGTGTTAAGACTATTAGGAGTATCCATGAATGGTGGTTTGGATTCATACAGGAGCGTCCTAGGGGGAGACTACTGGAAGCTGGTGCTAAGACACTGTTTAGTTTCACGTACAATAGCCTAGCTGGCAGCACTTGAAGTTGTGAAATGATACATCCTCAAACAGAAGTGAACGAAGGCCTCTCTTGGGGATTTTGTGGTGGTTAAAAAAAAAATAGGCTTTTTTAGGAACTTAAAATTATCTCAGTTGTTTGGGGACTTTCCCTTGGGCAAAACTACTAAATTATGTTCTTTATGCATCTCAGAACTTTGTACATCCTAGGCAGGCAGCATGTGAACAGAAAAAATGGCTGAGCAGCTGGCTTACTGCAAGTTTGGTTTCTACCTTGCAGGAAATAGTTTGAGTGGGTTTAAGAAAAAATTGAGTGTATGTCAGTCTGTGTTGTAGGATGCTTGTTTTGACTTGCTAAAACTTGGGCTTGAATTAGGTTCTTGAGAATTTGGAAAAGTCAAGCAGGGATAGCTGTACCAATTGATGTCAAAGTTCTTTTTGATATTTACTTAGACTTTCTAATTTTGCAGTTTATGATGAGAAAAAGAAACTTCTAACTGGACAATTGAGAAAATACCCAGAGAAGCTAATTATCTACTGTAAAGATCTTAGAGTATTTCATTTCTGCCTGAGATACACAAAAGAAGAAGAAGTGAAAAGAGTAAGTATAATAAATTAATTTGTGTGTCTTTAAGCTTAGTGTTGGGTATTTAGCTGTGGGGATGAGGAAAGGATGATATTCACCTGGAGAGATCCCTTTAAGTGTTTTCTGGTTGAGAGAGAAGATAAAAGACTTTGATTTCTAGCTAACCTTACTCACTAAACATTGCTATGTGTGGCAGTTAAAAAGATCAGATGCGCTGGCTCTTTGAAGAAAACTGGAGCTTGTGAGTACTATATGGAACTAGCTTCGGCTCAGGCAAAATTGCAAAGCTGTTCAATTTGTAATATGTAATTTTATTACACTTTAGATGTTTTTCTTTTTCGTATGAAAGCAGTTATTTTCATAGAATGGTTAGACTTGGAAGGGACCTTAAAGATCATTGAGTTCCAACCCCCCTGCCATGGGCAGGGACACCTCCCACTAGCCCAGGTTGCTCAAAGCCCCATCCAGCCTGGCCTTGAACCCCTCCAGGGATGGGGCAGCCACAGCTTCTCTGGGCAACCTGTTCCAGTGTCTCACCACCCTCACAGGAAAGAATTTCTTCCTGTTATCTGATCTAAATATCCCTTATCTCAGCTTAAAACCATTACCCCTTGTCCTATCATGATACTCCCTGATAAAGAGTCCTTTGCCAGCTCTCCTGTAGGCTCCCTTTAGGTACAGGCTTTTCAGGAAGGTCTCCCCAGAGCCTTCTCTTCTCCAGGCTGAACAATCCCAACTCTCTCAGCCTGTCTTCATAGGAGAGGTGTTCCAGCCCTCATAATCTTTGTGGTCCCCCTTTGGACTCACTCCAGCAGGTCCATGTCTTTACTGTCTGAGGGCTCCAGAGCTGGATGCAGTACTCCAGGTGGGGTCTCACGTGCGCAGAGTAGAGGGTAGAATCTACTTTGCCTTCTGGGCTGTGAGTTTGCTGGCTCACGGTGAGCTTCTCATTAACCAACATCCTCAAGTCTCCTCAGGGCTGTTCTTAATCCATTCTCCGCCCAGCCTGTATTTTGCTTAGGATTGCCTTGACCCACATGCAGGACCTTGCACTTGGCCTTGTTGAACTTCTTGAGGTTTGCACAGGCCCACCTCTCAAGGCTGTCCAGATCCCTCTGGATGGTATCCCTTCCCTCCAATGTGTCAACTGCTCCACACAGCTTGGTGTTGTTGGCAAATTTGCTGAGAGTGCACTCTATTCCACTATCCATGGCACCAGCAAAGATGTTAAACAGCACCAGTCCCAGTACTGACCTGAGAAACACCACTCGTCACTGCTTGCTACCCTGACGTCGAGCCACTGACTGCAACTCTTTGAGTATGGCCATCCAGCCAGTTCCTTATTCACTGCATGGTCCATCCATCAAATCATTGTCTCTCTAAATTAGAGGCAAGGATGTCAAGTGGGAGAGTGTGAAATGCTTTGCATAAGTCCAGGTAGATGAAGTCTGTTGCTTGCCCCTTATCTACCATGCTGTAACCTTATTGTAGAAGGCCACCAAATTTGTCAGGCACAATTTGTCTTTAGTGAAGCCATGTTGCCTGTCATCAATCACCTCCTTATTTTCCATGTGCCTTAGCAGAGTTTCCAGGAGGATCTGCTGCATGAGCTTCCCGGGCACAGAGGTGAGACCAACCAGCCTGTAGTTCCCCAGGTCTTCCTTTTTTCCCCTTTTTAAAAATGAGGGTTATTTTTCCCCTTCTCCAGTCAGTGGGAACTTCACCAGACTGCCACAACTTTTCAAATATCATGGATAGTGGCTTAGCACCTTCATCCACCAGTTCCCTCAGGACCTGCGGATGTATCTCATAGGGTTCTGTGGATTTCAGGTTCTTTAGATGGTCTCAAACTTGGTCGTCTCCTACAGTGGGAGGTTCTTCATCCTCCCAGTCGCTGCCTTCACCTTCTGTGATCTGGGTGGTGTGGCTAGAGTGCTAGCTGGTGAAGACCAAGGCAAAAAGGTCATTGAGCACCTTGGTCTTGTCCATGTTCCAGGTGACTAGGTCTGTCATTTCCTTCTGGAGAGGGACCACATTTTCCCTAGTCTTCCTTTTATCACTGATGTACCTATAGAAGCTTTTCTTGTTGCCCTTGACATGCCTGGCCAGATTTTACTCTACCTGGGCTTTAGCTTTCCTGACCTGATCCCTGGCTGCTCAGTTTCTCTGTGTTCCTCTTAGGCTGCTGGTACTTGCTTCCGCCTTCTGTAGGGCGCCTTCTTCTGTTTCAGGCTGTCCAGGAGTTCCTTGTTCATCCACGCAGTCTTCCTGGTGTTTTTCACTTCCTCTTTGTTGTTTGTCTTTTCTTTTCTTTCTTTCCCTTTAATCCTGAACCATAAGCTCTTGGTGGGCTCCTCATCCGTCCTCCCCAGGTGGAGCTCCATGCACTCCAGCTGGTCATTGACATAGAGGGCGACACCCCCTCCTCCTCTCCCATGTCTATCCTTCCATCCTGTATCCTCCCATTCCAACACTCCAGTCATGGGAGCCATCCCACTAGGAGTCATCTGTCATGCCAGTAAGATACCCCTGCAGGCATGCACACATCTCTAACTCCTCTTTTGCTACGTGCATTTGCATAGAGGCATTTAAGTTGGGTCCCTGATGACTTTCTGGTAACTCAAGTTCTTTTGTGTTGCTGTTTAACCCCAGCTGGCAGCTAGAACCACACAGCTGCTCTCTCACTTCCCCCAGTCGCGATGGGGGAGAGGATCAGAAGAGTAACAGTGAGGAAAAACTTGTGGGAAGAGATGAAGACAGTTTAATAGGTAGAGCACAAACCGTGCACGCAAGCAAAGTAAAACAAGGAGTTAATTCACTGCTTCCCATGGGCAGGCAGGTGTTCAGCCATCCCCAGGAAAGCAGGGCTCCATCACATGTAATGGGTCCTTGGGAAGACAGACACCGTAACTCCCCCTTCTTTTTCCCCCCGGTTTTATATGCTGAGCATGATGTCACATGGCATGGAATATCCCCTTGGTCAGTTGGGGTCAGCTGTCCTGGCTGTGTCCCCTCCCAGCTTCTGGTGTTCCCCCAGTCTGCTTGCTGGTGGGGCAGTATGAGGAGCACAAAAGGCCTTGAGAGCTTAGTAGCAACCAAAACCACCAGCGCACTATCAAAAGTATTTCTTATCCCAAATCCAAAACGTAGCACTATGCCAGCTGCTAGTAAGAGAGTTAACTCTACCCCAACTGAAGCCATGACATTTTCACAGGTTAATCTGAACGCCAAACTAGGACCTACCTACCCTTATTTAAATAATAAGAGTAATTCTTGAACTTGTACAATACTTCTCACTTAACCACGTAGATACAGTATTTTGCAGACAATGGAGAAAGCTTTCTAAAAGTCAGTTTTCAGATGCTGGGGGTAGAACCTGTTGAACAGTTTTGTTTAAAACCTGTGGGGGGTGGTGGTGGTGTGAAAAAATCTTTTTTACGCTGACGGTCTGTGTTTCATTATTAATTTTTCATCCTTCCCTAGATCGTCAGTGGCATAGTTCATCATAGCCAGACTCCTAAGCTGCTTAAACGCTTGTTTCTGTTCTCTTACGCATCAGCAGCCCCAAACTATACAGGTAAATGTTTTTTCTGTTTTTGATTCGTAGTTTTTGCATACTGTTAGTTCCTTCAGCAGCCTGGGACACTTAGTAGCTGAGTTTGTGCTTGGCTTATGTCTCTGCCCTGCTGGCAGATAGCCTCAGAAGATTCATTATTCTCTTGTTACATGTTGTGACTTGTTGCTAAAAATCTCTAAATTGTTTACTGTTGATTTCTGTGTCACACAGTATAGTTGCACAGAAATTTTCCAAGCAAGAGTAGCATCACTGGCTTGGAAACTTACTGTGATCAATATGTGCAAATGCTTTTCATGTGTTTCTGACTAGAGTGCTCTCATCTAGAAAATATTTTGCTTATTTTATCAATGCATTTTTCCTGTACTGTTGCAGTGAACCAAACTTCCTGCTCTTAATTCTTAAATTATTACATTTTTGGTGGCATCTGACAGAAAGTATTTCCCTTTTTGCTCTTATTTGCAAGCGATCTGCTTCTCCTAGGCAACTGCAAAAAAAAAAAAAGCACAGGTTTGCATAGCAAGATTCCAGTAGACATCTGACTTCCTCTTATAGCTAACTTGTTACGTAATCTTCCCACTTGATCAAGCTTAGCTGAATAATATAGTAAGCTGCAAAATTCAGGATAAAAAGTTGTCAGTGCACTTTCTAGCATTTCACAGCTTAGACTTCAACTGAAATAATAGCACTGTTTTGAATTAGGAACCTGATTCTTGGTGCCCCAGGAACACCCGTTCCTTTCACAGAGGAAAGTTTTGATGCACCCAAGGTATTAACTGGACACTTACCAAAACACGTCAAGTAATTACAGATCATTGAGGTTAGAAGAAACCTCTGGAGATCATCTAGTCATGTTGCTGTCTATCTGCCCCTGTTTAGAGTAGGGTTAAGTACAACAAGCTTACCAGGGTCATGTCCACTTGGGCTTTTAATATCTGCAAGGATTGAGACTTCACAATCTCCCTAGACACACCATTTCATTAGTTGACCATCCTTATAGTGAAAAAGTTTATTTTTATGTTTACATAGGATTTGCTGTAGTTCAGCTTGTGTACACTGCCTTTTGTCAAGTCACTGGATACCACTGAGTCAAAATCCATCTTCTTTAAACCCCTCCCCTGCTTCTGCCCCCAGCCAGGTGTTTATACACACTGGAAAGATTTCTTGTCCCTCTGAACCCCTACTGAGACTTCTTTTCTCCAGGCTGAATGATCACAGCTCTCTGTCTTTCCTCATACCAGATGCTTTAAACCCTTAATGATTTTAACGGGCCTTCACTGGACTTGGTCCAGCAGGCCTGTGCCTGTCTTCTACTGGGGAGCCCAGCACTGGACCCAGCACTCCAGGCATGGCCTCACTGGTGCTGAGCTGAGAACAACCGACTCACTCAGCCTGTAGGCAATGGCTTTCCTAATGCAGCCCAAGCATACCTTGTCTGCCTTTGCTTGCTCAGGTAGTTTCTGCAGACTTCATCTCAAACTGGTGTTCAGTTTAAACTACAAACATCAGAAAGACCGTAAGTTTTTTCAGGTAGAGGCTAAGCAAGTGTGGGGGAAACCTAGTCTTTATAGCAACTCTGAAGTGTTGTGCCATAATTCTTTCATATTTTAATAACTATCTTCAATAATAGATGCTTAGATCTCATTCTTATGAAGATGTTACAGGAGAGACCAAGCAGACTTTAGAAATTGGGGTTTATGCCTCTTATAGTCTCATACTCTTGGAATCGTAACTCATCCCTTAGAGCTCGTTAATAATGTTCTGTTTCCAACTGTAAATCCAACCTTATCATCTTACAGTGGAGAGTTTCAATTTGCCGTTGTATCTTCTGTGGTAATTCTAGCTCTCTTTGGTTTTTCAGTATTAGCTAGTGTTGCAGGATACTTAATACTGTTGCTGAGTTGGCTTGACAGAAGTACAGGAAAAGTTCTCAGTTAAAATGATTGCATTCCTCCAATCAATTTTCTGCTCTTATGAAGTGCCCAAAATGTTCTATTCAGTCCAAAAGACCTGTCTGTGATGAAAGAGCAAACTTTAAATGAAATGCAATATCTGAATTGCAGGAAGGCTTTTGGTAGGACTGTTAATTCTACATGTAGGTCTCTATTACCAGATGCCAGTCAGCTACGCTATCATACAATGGTATTTGCTGCACAGCATCCTGGGTTTTAGGCTCGATTTGAGGACAGCCCAATTGTGTAGAAGTTCTGTAAGAGATTATTAGTTAAAGCCGTATTTGACAGAAGATGTGTTTTTAAAGATCAGACAGGCATAGTGTTGCACAAAGGCATTTTATCTTTGACACGCGGCTTTCCATACACGAGAGGTTTGTCTTGCTTACTTTAATGAAAACTAACTACTTGATTTAGGGATGCTTTCATGTTAGAATTCCTGGTACTCTGCAAAGTTAACATTATTGATGTCTGACAGATGGAAGAAACCAGACTGTGATGTTTGATACTCTTGAGGACTGGCGTGATGAGTTGGAGCGGACCAAAGGGAATGTGAAATACAAAGCAGTGACTATCAATGAAGGCTACAGAGTTTCTGAAAAGTAAGCTTGCCCTGGTTAATAGTGAACTTCAGACATATATCTCATGAAGATTTGCAAAAATCAGTGCTACCTTTGATGCTGAGCATCAGTTGTTAGAGTTTTTCTAGGAGCTGGTTTCCATTTTGGTGCATGGCATACTTTGATTTGAGACCTCAGGAAGTCATCTACATAATCCCCGTTCAAGCAGGGTTAACTTCAATATTAGGTTAGGCTACTCAGGACCTTGGTCAGTTAAGCTTTGAGTGTCTGTAGGGGTGGAGAATAGCACCTTAAAATGGCATAGAAAATTTGTAGCTCTGGCACCTATGCTTTTGTCATACTTACTGGTTAGCACGACGTTTTGTTAGTCCTGGATGTCTACTCCGGCAGAATTTGAATTTACATGCACGATGAGATTTGCTGTTGTTTTAGTTGGGGAGGCTGGGTGGGGAAAGATTAACTAGTTTAAAGTGTATCTGCAGAATGTGCTGATGAAAGTTAAGTTGCGTTGCCTTTAGTGGTAGGTTAGAGGTGTATAATTATCCCAGTAGTATCTATTGATGAATCCTTTAGGATGTACTCAAGGCTTTTTGTACTACTGATGTTTAATAGTCAAATCCTAGAAGGTTTGACAGACTTTGGAAACAAACACCAGTTTTTCAAAATAGTCATTAACTACTTATTCTAGAACTCTGTCTTGAGAGACCCAAGCTGAGCTGAAGTACTTTTCTTTTCTTCTGTGTGCCTTGAACATAAATAGCATTGGCTGATACTGAAATTCGTGATATATTAAATTATATCCTTGTATTGTGATGCAAACTGCTTGCAAGGCATGGAAATGGAGCTAGTTATCTAATAGTACAAAGGTATCTTTTGAAACAACGAAAAGTTAGAGTACCAAGGCAGTCTTAGCTATCAGTCTTGGATGTTATAATTAAATGTAGGACTTAATGGCAGCCTTGGAAAGGCAGGGTTATGTTGCAGTGAAAATAATGAGCATCTCAAGATCGGAAGAAAATATCTGATCCAGTTGAAAATAAAAGGCGGGTGTTGAGGACAGTATAATTATCTAGTAGAAGAGATTATTGTAGCTGTAAGAGTGAAAATATAATTAGCATATGGGCTAAAACACCATCATTAAAAGGAGCTTGGAGATGTTTCTTTGTTCAGTTTTTAAGTGCAAGAAACTCTTTTTCTGTTATCTTAGGCTGCCTTTGTATTTTGTTGTTCCCATATGCGTTTCTGAAGAGAGTATCTTGAAGTATGAAGGCAGAGGCATTCCTGTAAGTATATATGCATTGCTGAGGGTAAGAAATCTTATTGAGAAGGCATAATTTCAACGAGCACTTCAGATGTTACTGCATATGATATTTAGAACTTATTTTCAACCGCTCGTGCTTATACCTAGTCACCTACAGAAGGGGAAATAGCTGCTGGAAGAAGAGGTGCTTAAAGTATTCTATGTTCCCCTTAAACAGTGTGAAACAAAATGGAGGTTCACAGCCCCCATTTAGTTATATCAGGTGTTTATTGTCCTATAGTCTTCATATACTGCTAGTCTGCCTATCCTCCAGTCTGTTTTTCTTGAGAGTGAGTACTGACTGCTGTCTAGCTGGGCAGGATATAGGGCTTGAAATGCTGTTTGGATATTGCAGTGAAGATCATGAATGTGCAGATGTAATTGAATGCCTTCAGCTGCCTGGCTTGGGTACAGGTAAGTAGTTTGGCTGTGGTAGCCTTGCTGAAAAACTAGTTCTGCCAGTCTCAACAGAAAATTAAGCTAAAGATACTGTGTTGCACCCTGTAGCAAGCTGGATTTGGCTTTCTGGTTGGTACCACAATTTAAGAACCATTAAGACAGAGTAGACAGAAGCAGGGGGCAAAGTAACCTCACTTATGAGCCCTTACGCTAGTTGCTGCATGACTGTCAAGATTGCCAAGGAAAACCATATTTACTTCATGCTCTTAAATTGAGTTCATGGAGAAGACAGTGATGTCCTGTCCTGCCCAAATTGTCCTTTCAGATAGTGAAGTTCAAAATAGTTTGGTTCACTTTTTCTCAGTCAACCAGACAAATTACCGTGAATGTTACACAGAAACAGAAGTGATTTTTTTTTTTTTTTTTTTTTTTTTTTTTTTTTTTTTAATTAAATTGCATTTTGCATTGTTCAGAGTCCTTATGGAACTCTTATAATTATTTCCAAATCCATTTGGGAAGCTACAGTCAAAATAGCTTGTCCATATTAAATCAGTTTGAGATGGCAGTGGAAGGGCAACGTAGTTGCTTTTTCCACTCTTGATGAGTGTACCCTTCTCAGTTGTACCTCTTGGCTACTGTAAAATGGTAGCAGAACTTTAACTTCTTGATTTGGCTGGTCTAAAATTCCTGATGAAAATGAGTCTGACTCCCAGGTTCAAAGCAAGTTTGAAGATCAGCTTGACACCATCAAGCAGTAGGTGTGAGTCAAGAAATTATGTGTAAAGGGAAGTAAGAAGCTTTGAGGACTGACTTGCTACAAAGAATGCCTGTTAACTACACAATCTGATTTAGTTGTGGAGTTCTTGTTTAATGTCTTATTTTAAGCCTAGATGACCCTTTATGCGTACCTCACATGGAAAGACAAAACAGTGTATCTGATGTGAGTTATCTCAAGGTTGAACTGTAAGAAAAATGCTACTCTTTGGGGAGAAACTCATGGCTAATATATATGAGTTACAAGAGCCATCTTGCTGGGGCATATCTTAATATGGCCATAGACATTTTGACGTCATCTATTGAGAAAGTAATGTTCTGATATAATCTGACATTTTACATTTACTTGTGCTTATATAAACCTTAAAACTTGCAATTGATAACACAGTGTGTTGAGGCATGTAGTTTTGGTGCGGATGTAGAAGTTTGCTTCTGCTGGTGGGCTCGTTGAATGCACAGAAAATTCAGTAAAGCACAGCATAGAGAAATTTCTTGTAATCACTCAGTCACTTGAGCAAATACTTCATATGGGACAGTTTACCAACTTTTATCACCTGGTAAATGTCTTTCTGCAGATTTGGTGTTGGTCTTGCCATAATGGTGCTGCTCTTCTCAAAATGTCTGCATTTCCCAAAGAACAGGATGACAGCACTTCACAAACGCAAAAAGCCTTCTTGGATGGGTCAGTAATAGCTATTCTGTCCACAACACTTTGCTTGGTATGGACCTTGCTTCTCTTTTTCTATATATGCTGTATCTTTAAGCTTGCACGCATCAGGAAACAAGTTCTAGATTTAAAAGTAGTTTCGCTAGTGGAATGGGGTTAAGCCCTTAGCCTAACCACATTGGTCAATTGTGCAGGACTGTAACATCACTGAAGGCTTATTTGCGGACATTCGTGTGTATATATGTGTATCTCAGATGAATCTCTGCACAATCTGTGGCTTGTTATTAGATAAAGCAGCACCAAAGCCCGTAGGTCTGAAGTACAGTTAGAGTAGCATCAGCTGATGGGCTCAGTTGTGTTTTCAAGAAAGAGAAGTCTAGATTCCGCTCTAAAGATGAATTTGCAAGCTGAGTTTTACATCTCTGAACTCAATGTTGTCTTCTCAGAACAAGAATTGTGTTCTTAAATGAGTTTATCTGAAGTGACCAAAAACGACTGAGACAATCTAGCAGTTCAGTACCGCTACTTTCAGATGCAGCAGCAGACAGTGTTTTGTTTCAGTTGAGGTAGTGAGCTGAATTAGCTCAGCAATCTGAAAAATGCCAAAGTTAACATATGGGGAAGAGCACAGCTGCCTGGCTGAGAGCTACAGCAACGACTTGCTGCTCTTTTTTTTTTTTTTCTTGGCTTTTTTTTAAGCTGTTGGATGTCCTGGAGAGAACTTCTCTCTTATCAGTGAGCTGTTAGATCAGGCTCCTGTGCACAGCTTGTGCTGCTTCACCATTAGCTCCTTTTCTCTTTGTAGAATAGATAGAGAACCTGTTAATCCCACAGAACTAACAGAAAATAGCTTGATTAGGCTCTTAAAACCTCTTTTGTTTTTAAAATTTATTATAGTTGCCCAGGAAAGGCTTTGGACCCTTCCTGCAGATTCTCTAGTGTTTCTCTCTTGAAATGGGGAAGTTTACATGACTTCCAGCGCTTTTTAATGCTGTTTCTTAATATGAAAGTAAAACTAGCAGTAAACTGTAACAAGGTATCAACTGATATTTTGATCCCTTGTCTAGCACCATGTGGACTTGGGTCAGTGTGGGTGGTTTTCTTTGCTATAAGGTACTGGTGGTTAACCACTAATATTTAAAAATACATCTACAGGCTGTCCACAGGGGTGTGTTAACGTAACAGTAGTCTGAACTCAAGCACACAGCAGATGTTTACAATTAACAGCTTCTTTTATTGAAAAAGCTGCTTAGAGCCAAATGTTATAGTACAAATTGTTTGCCTCAACTTGGAGGAAGTATTGTAACTGACAAATAATTGCCTTGCCTCAGTTGTCTTGTCTGATGCCTCTCCCGGTAGGTCTAGTAACCTGCATTTCTGATGTGGACTCCTCGCTTAAAGCAGGCTTCTGTCCTACAGCTTACGGAAAACAAAGTACTCTGTCCTCTCTGGGCAAGTGCCCGCAAGCCTTCATGTCTGAAATACAAGATAGAGCAGCTTTTCACAAATCTTGACAATAAAATGTCAGCATGACAACAGAGGTATTTACTAAGCTGATACTCTGAGCTCTGGAGGCTGAATGAAAGGGGGCTTCTGGGTTCAAACTGAACCTTCATCTGTCTTGGGGAAAAAAAATTAGCAGGAACTTAGGAAGTAAAAGGCATGTATGCTGTCTTGTTTGAGTCCAAATTGTTTCTTCTTTCTCGTGTGTTTCATTAGCAGACTTGACAGCTAGGTATTAGAATGTAATTTGGTTGGTAAAAGTCAAGAAAAATAGTGTCTGCTGGGAGGTTTGGGTATTTCTATCCATCTCTTCTTCTGGATTCACCTCTAAATAAGCCTGCTAACAAAGTAATTTTGGTGTGTCTAGTGAAGACAACACTGAAGAAGCAGTAGTAAAAAACAACTAGTGCTTGTAATATTCATAACTGCACAAATATGCATGGATATAATTTTACTGGCATAACAGTTAAGAGCAGTAAAACCTTTCATAAGCTTGGAGGCAAGCTTCCAGCCAGTACTTAAACGTTCATGGAAGCCATTAGCTTTCCAGGATGTATATCTTCTGGTCTTACAGCTGTTTCCCAAACCATGCCTATTAACTTTGTCTTCAGTGATAATTGTTGGCACATTATTTTACTTACGGAGCAGAAGGCTTTAATCTCTTGATGATTTGATTTAGAATCTATAAGACAATTTGCAAAGCTCCCTATGAACTGCTGAAGACGGATGACTTGTCAAGCAGCCTTCCATCTCTGCAGGATATCCAGACTGCATACACAAGATTTAAACAGCTGTTTTTGATAGGTAAGTCAAACTTTAAAAGTAGTGTCTTGGCTTTGAAGTGACTGAGATGCCAAGGATAACAATGCTGGTTTATGTCTCATGAATGCAGTCCTTATCTTGATTGGTGTCTTGCTTTTGAGGGTGGTTAAGAGCAGACTTTTAAACATGTAACTGAAGACTGTGCTTATGACTGGCATGTTAATGGAGATTTGAAGTTCTTAAACGTACTACCTCTTGCTAAGCATTTGCAGTATCTGAAAACTACTTTTAAAGAGAGTGACTATGGAGTTTAAATGTTAGTTGGAATACACTAGGGATTTTTCAGTGTTCTGTGATGCATTGAAATTAAATGTTAAGTGTTAACCTTTTAAGGCTTTGTGCTATGTTAAGAGTTGAGGCTAAATGCCAATTAATTTTTGCCTTTGTTACAAACTAATCACATTTCAAAACATAGGAAGAGTGAGCTTGCTTAAAATTCTGTCTGTAGCTGTAAGACTAAAACATGATTGCTGTAAATAGTAAATCCACTTGAAAGGAGTAAAAATGAGAGCCATGTGAAAGTATAATATAGGCTTTTAGACTTTTTTTCTGGGAGTCCTTAACTGTTTTGCTGTCATGAAACAGTACTTTGACCTCGCATCTAGTCATGGAAAATGCACCACACCACCTTGCAACTGTGCAGTGTGCCATTGGGCTGTTTTGGACAGTGGGTCTTCTACAGGATAACGAGGGTAAATGTTGCTATAACCTCTCTGGTGGTATGCTGAACACTGGAGCTGTGGCTGTTGATGTTGGATGTAACTGAACTGGCCAGCATCGAGGAACTATATATTTGCAGTCTAGCCTACATCCAGTATCCAAGTCCTGTTGTTATTGTGCGTGGAGTTTAGCTGGTAAGTTGATATTGATTGCAAAATACTATGAATGCTCTTTTGGTAACAATATCAGGTACAGTCTAAAGAGAAGTCTGAAAGATATGAGGTATTTGCTAAAGCTTCACATTGAGGATTTTATCCAGAATACACTGTCAAATCCACAGTGAATCTTAGTAGTTAAAAATAATTACCTATATTTTAATGTAGCTTCTGATAACTTACCTTCCTATAGGAAAAAGGCCAAAAGTTCCTATAGGAAAAAGGCCAAAGCTTGAATTTAAGTCATTTAACATCTCTCAGGAAATACTGCATATTTCAGTGGTATAATTGTGTCATTGTCTTACATTATTTGAAGTAAAATTGAATATGTTAAAACTGCATTCCAGTAAGTGTTTCTGAATATTGCGCTATGCGCTAGCAGTCTGAGAAAAATCATTCAGGTAACTTTTTGCTCAAGTATTAAGATCTTGCAGGAATTGACTACCTTACTACTATTTTTCAAAGTCTGAACACATTAACCACTATTGTTGTTCTATATGTGCCTAGTTAATTTGATTTATGTAACTTGGTTGGACTGAATTTTAGGAAAGCAAAATTCCAGCTGTTCAAGGAGTTAGTCCATGGGATCCCCTAGGAAACTGCCCTCAAGGAGCAGAACCAAGCTGGTAGATCTTTAAGGATGCGTTTCACAGAGCACAAGATCTCTTGATCCCCAGGTGTAAGGAATCAGGAAAGGAAGGCAAGAGACTAGCATGGATGAGTTGGGAGCTGCTGGACAAACTAAAGGACAAGAAGGAAATGCAGGGACAGGTTGTCCTGGAGAGGTTTTACAGACAGTGCCCAGTTGTGCAGGAATGGGGTCAGGAAGGCCCTGTTGGAGCAGGTCTAGAGGAGGCCACAAAAATCATCATAGGGCTGGAACACCTCTCCTATGAGGACAGGCTGAAAGAATTGAGATTGTTCAGCCTGGAGAAAAGGAGGCTTCAGGGAGACCTTACAGCAGCCTTCCTGTACTTAAAGGGGGCCTACAGGAAAGATGGGGACAAACTTCTTAGCAGGGCCTGTAGGAATAGGACAAAAGTAATGGCTTCAAATTAAAATAGGGAAGATTGAGACCAGATATAAGGAATAAAGTTTTTCCACTAAGGGTGGTGAAACTTTGGACCAGGTTCACCAGAGAGGTGGTAGATGTCCCATCCCTGGAAACATTCCAGGTCAGGTTGGATGGGGCTTTGCGCAACCTGATCTAGTTGAAGATGTCCCTACTCCTTGCAGGGGATTGGAGTGGATGACCTTTAAAGGTCCCTTCCAACCCAAAATATTCTATGGTTCTATGAAAAGTTATACAGAAACATGTGGAATTGAAGCTGTTGGGAAAGCGTAGGGAAGGAGAGAAGTGTGGTTTATCTCAGTTGTTTCACAGTAGTAGAACTGGACAACCACTTAGTGGTTTGTGTCTTATGCAGGAAAGGTAATCTACTCTGGTTTTAATTGACAGCATCAGCTTTCCAGTTTCTGAATACTGGCTTTGATAGAAATAAAAGCAATAGAGATTTACATTGCATTTAAAAAGCTACAAAAATCCTAGTGAAATTCATAAGAGTTTAATGACTTTGTGGTATTGTACTTGGCCTCATGGTTTATCTTAGCTATTCCCTTTCTGATGTATTTTAATGCCTATTCAGCTGTAGTGAAAGCTGTTTAAAACCTTTTTGAGGTAGTCTTACATTCCATAAATTTGTGTAACCTCCTTCTAAAAACCATATGTGTTTCTGGCTTCAATGGTAATGACTTTCAAAATCCAGTCTCATTATGTTAAGCTATATAAAGCTTATAAGGTCATACTTTAGGGTCAAGGCAACTGGAATTTGGAAGAACCATTGCCTTTGGTTAAACTTTGTTACTTTTCCTTTCCCATTTTGTCAACAGATTTATTTACTGTTTGGTCGCTGTGAACCTACATCATATATTTTCCAAAAGCTTGTGGTGCTATAAAACTTAACTGGTGTTTGTAGGACTGCTTCACTTCCTCACTTACAAGGTGTTGATGTTAACAGTGACTAGAATTTACTTGCTCCTTAGAATTGGTTGTTTTCTAACAGTTTATAACTGAAGAGTAACACAATGGATGGCTGTTAATTAGCACTACATATATTTGAGTAAACCAATTTTTGGTTCTCGTGTTTTTGCAGATAACAGTACAGACTTCTGGGCAACTGATGTGAAATGGTTTTCATTACTGGAGAGCACAAACTGGCTGGAGATAATCAGGTTTGCTATATCTGTAATTTTCTGGGTTTGAAGTTGTTGTTAAATGCATTTGTAGTGGGTTTTCTAGCTAGTTTCTTGAAAAATGATGACGTTCTTCACCTCCAGTATGAAAGAAAATTAAGACAGACTTATGGTCCCATTTATATATCCTATTTCTACAACTTGAGACAGTTATTTTTATAGTGCAGGCTTGTAGAAGAATCCTGTTTTGTTTCTTGCATGAAACCTATTCCGTGTCTCTGACTAGCCTTGCCGTTCTTCTCTGTACTCTCTACTTCTGTAATATCCTTTAGGACGGGATGAACTGCAGTATTCAAGATATTAGCCCACCATTAGTAGTTCTCAGTTTTGTCCCCTTCCTCTCCTGATTGTTCCTCAAGTTCTTTTTTCTTCTCTCAGCAGTCCACAGTAAGTGTTGGAATGGTGTTGGCTAACTTAAGGCTTGTTGTAGTGGAATGTTGAGGGGTTTTACTTGTTTTCAGTGTTACTTTGTGCTAGCTCTGTTGTCTGCCAATTTATTCTGTGATCAGCTTGTTACTGTGAAGTGCTTCTGCAGTCAGCTTGAGTTCTTGAAATTACTCATTCCTTAATCCAGAATTTATAAGTATGTTGAATGGGAGGTTGTAGTGAAGATTGTATGTTGAGAAATGTGTTGATATAACCAAGATCACAAGTAGTTTAAAGTAAATGGCAGCCCAAGTTCCTCTCCTTACGTTGTTTTGAGTCTGGTCATTTCCATACTTTGATCCAGTTCTTCCTGGATCAGTGTGTTCTTGGCTCTTGCAGTTAGTAGGAATGCCTTCTCAGCTATTCTAGATGCTAGAACAAAGAATCTGACAACTCCACACTTACACAGTAAGCTGTCAGCTGCTATTAGTGACCTAAGCAGTTGCAAGAATCCTAATATGTATGCAAGCTTTTGCTGAAAGTAACTGACTTTTATGAAGAGTTAGAAACTGATGTTACATCTGGTTTTATGTGATCTTTAATTCTACGTGGTCTTCCTTGTGTAATGTTTATCTCAAAAAAATTTTGTCTTCATGTTTACAAGATCTGATTGCTGATCCTTCCCTCTGCCTCTTAAAACCATATTATGGGAGAAATGTAGTAGATTAGAACATAAGTGTAGTGGTGTTGACTCTTTCCAGGATAAAGATCTGGCTCTTAGCAACTGTAACGCTTCAGTGTGTGTGTGTGATGGCTGCTATTGATCCAGAATAAAGTATTGTACTACAGATGTACAAAGATAACAACTGTGAATGCATGACCAATGGCCAAATAAAGATACCTCTTGAAAGTTTGCTCTTGAGGCTAAACAGTTCTTCATTTACACAAGTTGAGCATGGGTTTTGTGGTTTTAGAGTGCTAGTCAAGTTTCAGTAGTATGACATTCTAGCCTCTTTTGGAGGAAACTAGTGTGAGAAACTTAACAGTAAAAATGCTATGAAAATGTTCACTTATCTTTTCCTGTACCACAACAGGCGAGTCTTGAAGAAAGCAATAGAAGTTGCTGAGTGTCTGGAAAGACAGCATACAAACGTTCTCCTTATAGGTAAGAATTAATGGGATTATCCTATTATTTTTTTTAGGTCTTTTGAATTTATTTAGATGTAGCTTAAGGTGTATGTATATAATTACAGTAGAGGCTGGTAAACTTCATAGAGTACTCAAGTACCAGACACCTAAATCTCTCACACTCATGGAAATGTTAAAAAACCATGACAAGCATAGTTCCAGAGTGTGAGAAATATCTTGTGAATTAGAAAGCTGCCAATAAATTGTCAGGAGAGTCGTGCTACCTCTTTTTTATGCATTCCTGTTTCCTAACTTATTTTTTTTAAAGGTCTACTAGAACTTTTACTGTACTTCAGGAATGTGGGCGGATGCACCTACACAAAGAACCTGGAGCATGAAAACTTTCTGAAAGGATGTTTTTGTGTTGTAGATGCACACTGAATACTATGTAGTCTCTTTGTTAAAAATGCATGAAAGGATACACTTACTCTATACATCTTGAGCAGGTTTTCTTAGACCGAGTGAAGTAATCACATGGAAAACCAAACTCAATGTTAACCATTAAGCTATTTTTGGATTAGTAATTTGGTTGTTTGGGTTTTTTTTCTACACACTGCCATTTGAGAAACCTAACATGGGAAAGAGATGTTTCTAGAAGGCACCTGTAGGGTGAAAGAATGCATGTTGCACGAGGAGGCAGCTTCACACCTTGTGAAAAGGTGCACACAGGGTAGGAAGGGTAAGGGCAGATAGCTGGACTGGTAGCACAGGGAGCATAGGAGCAGTAAGTGCATTGCGGGAGACTGAGGGGCATAGGCATCAAAGCTATAGTAGTAAAAGCTTGGATTTTACAGGCTTTATTGTCAAAGTATTATCCTAGTGTAAGTGTACAAGACACCTTACAGTTTTACGAAGGGAAGTATTGGAAACATGGTTTCACTTCTTTCTGGTGGTATAACACGTGCAAGAAATTGTGTGGTTCTCTGATCTTGAAATACAGTTTTGTCTATGTGAAGCTAGCAATACTTTGCTTTCTTACCCAAAGTTTTAGGAATGGCTTAGTAGACAATATCGTTTCTGTTCTCTTCTGTAGAAGAGAGCGCGACTGATCTGTGCTGTGTAATCTCTACTTTGGTGCAAGTGATGATGGATTCATACAGCAGAACAAAGTCAGGGTTTCAGAGCCTTATTCAGAAGGAGTGGGTAGTTGGAGGACATGGCTTTTTGGATCGTTGTAACCACTTACATAAAAGCGACAAAGAAGAGGTATGATATTTATTGCTTTCCTTACTATTTAAAGTTTACTTGGCAAAAGGAGGGATTTAGATGTTAGTCTAGAAGTTCCAATTACTCTGAGGATCTTTTATGTTTTGTTTTATGGGTTGACGTTTCGTACAGTGCCACTATTTTTGCTGTTTAGAATTCAGCAATGTCTTTATAACTAAAGGGAACACCCATTCAATCTTGGAGTATCTCATGTTCTTATAAACTGTGTTAGATGGTGGTAGTGTCCATAGAAATAACTCAAGTGAATGGCTTGTTCTTGTCATATTTAGGGTTTAACTTTATACTGTCTTGCTAAACTTCGCAGCCTCCCCTCTCCATTTTTATTTATATTTTGAGAATAGATCGGATTTCTGTACAGAATGGAAATCATACCTGTAAACTGACTAATCAAGAATTACTATGAACTAGTTTTGCTTTGCCAACTTTAAAAGTCTGCATAGCAACAACTTTCGTAGCAAGGTAATATATGCAAATTCAGGTTAGAAGGTGTTCACCTCTTTTGTCAACAATTGCCCAAAGGTAGCTCCGATGATACTACTTCAGAGTTCAGCCAAAGCCAGGGGCAGCAGTTCTGCAGTTAACCAGATTGGTTTCCTTAAGATTTGTATTTGGAGACACTAAATTTTATAAAATAAGTAGTCTGCATAGTAGAACGTATTTTTTTCTGAAACTGATGCAATATTTTATTTACTTAGGCTCCTGTTTTTCTGCTCCTACTAAATTGTGTTTGGCAGTTGGTACAGCAGTATCCTCCAGCATTTGAGTTCACAGAAACTTACTTAACTGTCTTGTCAGACAGCCTCTATGTGCCTATTTTTAGCACTTTCTTCTTCAACTCACAACATCAAAAAGACACTAACACGGTAAGGGTTTCTTACTTTGTTGATGCAATATGTTGGAGAACAGGTTTGAACAATAACCAGGAAAAAAAAAATCCCTAGCAGCAGGTTTTTCCATACTTAATGGAAGGGTGGTGCCTTAAAGGGTGAATGAGTGCAACTTTGCATGTAATGAGTCAAGTTTAGGACGTAAGAGTTTATGATGATAAAAAAAAATAACTCAGGAATATATTACTTCTAATGTGTAGCTTTAGGTTCATGTTTATTGCTGTCCTGTGAAGACGGAACTCCTTAACCTAAGAGGAATATTGTGCTGTCCTGGAGGATAGGTTATCTACAAAATTCTTGTACAGTGTATTGTGTTGTATTCCAAAATCAACATTTCCTTAATGTTGATTTACATTGACTTCATGATTTTCTCTAGCCTAAGAAACTGGAAGCAATAGGGATATCCTCAGCAAGACTGCACAGACTTAAAAAAAAAATAAAAATGGTGAAGATTGCTGTCTTGCATTTCAATAAAACATTGATCATAGAAGTTAAACTGGTAGCACTGCGTAACTTCTGGAGTTTGGAGAGATTTATTCTGCAGTCCTAACAAGTACCCTGTGTTTGACAAATTCGGGTGTCTATCTCCTGCCCAATTTTCAAAACTTTGTTTTTTCCTCAGATGATTTAATCATATTTTCAACTGGGAAAGCCCTTTTTGGTGCTAATTGCACTGCATAAATGAAATACTGCCTGACATTATAGGGAATAACATAGATAGCCTTTGTGTCTGTACTTACTTGCATCTAATAATGTTATTTAGCTACTGAATACATAGAAACCATGAGTGGTGTTGCAAGTCTGTGGCCTCTTTTGTGAAAAGCCTGTTTTTTAATTTCACTTTGACTTGGTCAGAATTCCTTTCTAGCAGTATTAATTGCGATCTGTTTGCTTTGGCAGAGCGGTGAAAGCCTCAAGACACAAAGCGGTCCTTTCAGATTTCTTACTGTGTGGGACTGGTCTGTGCAGTTTGACCCCAAGGCCCAGGCTTTCCTGAACAACCCTCTTTATGCAGAGAAGCCAAAACCAGATAAAAGCCAACGGAAAACTACACGATTCAAAGTAAGATATATGCTGCTTAACTATTATTTTTTTTTTTTAAATTATAAAAATATTTTACACAACTCGTGCTTCAAATGTGCTTACACTGGATGTATCAGTGCAAGGCTGACAAAATACACATACACCTCAGGCTCACCTCTTAAGAATGCAATGTGCACCCACCTCAGTTTTTTGTAAATCAGTTTCACAGTTACCGTGCATAGCCATAAACTTTTTTCTCCGTACGTTTGTGCAAGTGTAGTAATAACCCACGGGAGTTAACAGCCAGGTGAGCTGCACTGACATGTTTGAAGTGAGTTTACTTTCTTGTTCCGTGGAGTACCTAACGGAAATACATAGCAGGATTATAATTGCCTCCCTAATTTTGTCTGAGTGTAATTGGAGTGTGTGTATGCACTAGGACGAGTGACCAACAGCAACAAAAACTGTCTAGGGTGTGGAGGATTACAGGTGCACCACCTCTTTACTGGAAAGTAGCACAAATTCAGTAAGAAAAGTTTGTCTGGAGTAGCCCTTTTCGACTGTGATATAACCAAAATATGTTTGTTAAATTCTGTTCTCTACAAAGCATTCCGAGGTGAGGCCCTGCCAGTATGATCTGTAGCACTAATTGGGGAACTCTTCTGCAGTGGGTGCAATATGGTGCAAAAAAATGAGGAACTACTGGATAAAAACTTCTACATCGAGTGCTCTTTGATTTGTGTGGCTAGCTTAAACTAAACATGGAAGTTTGTAATACTTGAACATATGAAAGAATTTTCCTCTTTCAAAGAAAAGTGCTTTATTCAGTGTTAATTCATTGCTGTAATTACAGTGCAGGGAAGGTATCTGGGAATACTAACTATGCTGTGTGAAGTATTTGGTGTATTAGCCATTGAAGAGTAACAGTTTTAAATACAGCCACTGTTTTCCTATATAGTCAAAGTGACTTTGCTTGTAAGTACTTTCTGAATACAAGTTATGTTCCTCTTAAGGTATTTTCTGAAGTCCCATCACTGTTTAACTCAGTATATTTTCCTTTTCTTTCCTCTTAAAGCATCAACGGCAACTTTCTTTGCCACTGACACCAACAAAATCTTCCTCGAAGAGAGGATTTTTTCGGGAGGAAACCGATCATTTCATTAAAAACATTTTGGGTAAAAGAATTGGCAAGCTGATAAATTCTTCAGATGAACCTCCCAATAGCTTCAGGGAATTTTATGACAGCTGGCATAGTAAGCCTGTTGACTATCACGGTCTCCTGTTACCTCGCATCGATGGCCCAGAAATCAAAGTCTGGGCACAACGGTATTTACGATGGATTCCTGAAGCCCAGCTTCACGGTGGTGGTACAATAGCCACGGCTGCCAAGATTTTGGACTTGATGGAGGAAGTGCAAAGCTTGCAGGTGAAAATGGACGAAGAGCATAGTCAAGCAATTTCTGGAGACGTACATCCTGTTCCGCTGCTGAGAAATTCTGCCCGTTTGTCGTCCTTGTTCCCGTTTGCTTTACTTCAGAGACAGTCTGTCAAACCAGCTTTGCCCACTAGCACCTGGAAAGACTTGGAAGATGAAGATGACTTGGTCAAGAGGGATGATGAATTTGTTGATCTAACTGGTGATATGCCGTAAAGTGTATGTAACTTAAAGTATGAATTGTTATGTGGCTAAGCTCTGAGTTTTAAATGTTGTACTGTATCCTCATATAAGGAACTCCCTCAAGTATCTGCAGGCTGTTTAATGAGTTTGTGGGGTTAAAAAAAAGACCTTGGTTGCAAAGAATTAGTTGCCATGATTAGCTGAGCATATTTTGAGCTTCCATTTCACTCTTAATAGTATTTATTGCAGAAACATATTTTTGGCATAGGTGTGATAAAAATTGAAGTCTGGGCTAGGGAGGCCATATGGCTACTTTGTTTAAAAAACAAACAACAAAAAAACAGTTTTTTCTCATGTTAGGTGGAATACTAAATACATACAGCAACAATCACTATCTTAACATAAACCGCTTCCCTTTTTGCTAAGAGTATGGGGATTGGAAGTGCTGTGACTAGGAACTTAATACATCTGCATTTCCCCCTCATGTAAAACAAAGAGGGAAAGGTGCAGCCAAATAACTTTTTTTTATAGCTGGGGAATAAACTTGTGGTCACCAAGGGTCTTCTGTCTGTCAGCCTCCTCTTTGCTGACAGTGTTGGTCTCTGGCTGCTGGCCCTTCGTGGTGTGCCGCATTGCGATGCACGCACAGGCTCGGAGCAGCCACGAGGCTACTTGGCTTAAGGTTCAGATGCAAGAGCTTAGTGACACATTTCAGGTCTTACTGTGTGGCCGTTGTCCTATGTGCCCTTGCTGCCTGGGAATATTAAGTCCCAAATATTTGCCATTAATGGTAAATGACCTGACTGAGATTCTAGTTTGCCACGAGTACCTTTTCTCCTTTTGACCGAGCGAGGCTTTTCGTTTTGACTTTCCCCACTTTTTGCCAGTTGCCTTTGAGGCTTTCTGTAGCTTGCACTGAGACCCTCCACGTAGCAGGGAAGACTCTCTTTCTGTAGTCCTTTTGCAGTCTGTTGCCACTTGCCATGAGTTGGTGGCACGGCTTATGAATGTGGCGTTCATACCGTATGAACACTTGCATCCTGTTGCTGGATGTTACAACAGTACCTCAGTGAAAAAAGCCATAAAGAAATGCCTGTTGACTTTGATCTACTGTGTGGATGTTTATATATAAAGTATTTTTACTGCAAATAATCATCCTTTGTAAAGCTGAATATTATTTAACTGTCAAATCTATTTTGAACTGTTAAATTCTAGAATACCCCAAGAATGGATGCAAGTCATAAACATCCACCCTCTCAGTGTAACTGATTTTAATATTTTCTCTGTTCTCTTACCATTTTAGAAATCCATGCTGGAAAACTTTGCTGGTGGAGAAAATGTTGCTTAAATTAGATCAGCTCAGTGTAAGCGGGGATATTAAACTAGGTTACTGATTAATCACTTCACACTGAGTTGTATTAATATGTATAGCAAAAACTTATCAGCAGAACTCTAAAAATAAATCTTAGTATGTTAAAATAAATGTATTAATGGGGATAAGGGGAGAGCTTAATGCAATTATGCCAAGCTGAAGCTTCCCAACTCTTGATTGCCTTAAGTCTTAGTGCGAGGACAATACTTGAGTTTGTAGCATTTTATTTAAATATACACTAGTACTTATGCTTTCTTCTGTGATACATGTGATCTTAACAGCTAGCACGTGCTAGAATGGGCTGTCCAGCACCTGTCCTTCACACTTAATTATTGTAGTTCAAGTGACTCATGTATGCAATAATACTTTGCATGTTGGATGAGCAATGCATTTTTATGGTGAAGAAACACCGATCATTCTAAGATCGTTTGGGTTCAAGGGCTGTTTTTTATAAATGCTACCATTAGGAAGAAATACTACAAAATGGATTGTTTCTATACTTTCAATCAAACTGTTGTAATGTTTCACTCATGAAAATTATGTATTTATATTAAAGAACAGATGTTGGACATTTATTTGTACATAAGTTACCAGAAGTTTATATAAAAGAGAAACATATATGTGGAATTGAACTTGGAAACACTTCTAATGTAGAGGAAATACCATTGTTATTGGTTTTCTGCACTGTGGGGTTGGAAATGTACTCAATATTTTTATTCCAGGCTTCTGTTTATACCTCCAAGTTTTTACACTGAATGCAAGCTAGAAGCTTTACAGTTTTTTTTTTTAATACTGTCATTTCTCTCTAGCAGGCTGTTTGGAGAGTATCAATAAAATATACTTTGATGTAATTGTTCTGAAATGAGAATGTGTGTTTAAGGCCATATTTTGCACATGATGGGTTAAATCATAGTGAGCTTGACCATCTGCAGTGACAAGGCTTTTCTGGTCTTATGCTGGGTTTTTACAGAGGGTTGTGGGGAGGAAGGTGTGGGGTTTTGCCCTGGTTGTAGTTACTGTAGAGGTGCTGCAGTTTCCTGGTGCAGCTCAGGAAAGAGGGAATTTCAGTGCAGTGCTGTGGGAGGTTACCGAGGTGGTCTAGAAAGCATCTGCTGAATGTCAGTATTTGGGGATTTATTAAACACTGTTGGGGGTTTATTAAACTCCTCGTTTTTTTTTTCCCGAGATTACACATAACTACCTTCTGTACGAAAACAGCACGGGTGCAAATCACACACTGAAAAACCGTGCCACTTTGGGTGTTTTCCTGAAGGGAGTGCCACCAGCCTGCGACAGGCGGGAGGTCTGATACAGCAGCAGCTGTGGCAGCAGCTCTGAAGTGCCGGGGGCACCTCGTGACACAAGGTGTGCCTCTGCCTCACCCAGGTCTCCCACAGATCAGTGGCTGCACTTTGGCCGCTTGGCTTTGATTTAAGGCTGCGTTCACCCGTGAAAAGTTCAGCTATTGTTGTACACCATATACACACAATGCACACATGTACTTTATGAAGGCACTCACAGCCAACGTCAGCTTCCTGATCCCTTGCCCCAATTGAAACTTTTTCCATTCACGCCCTGAAGCACTGAAGTGTAACTTCTTCAGGAGACAATGGAACACTGTCTGCTCTAGACCTCTTAAGGTGGATTAGTTCTGTCACACCTTCCTTCTAATGTTTAGCTGGAAACTTCACATGCAGTATCTGCTGCCTGGTGCTCTCTTGAAAAAGAGCTAGGTTTTGCGTTAAACAGTTTAGAAATTATGTGGGATGGACATCATTTTCTGGGACAGGGAGGAGATGGATTAATGAACTTTTGAGTCTAAAGAGAGCATTCTGTATACAGGAGCAATACGCTCTGCCAGGATGAATTTAGTGGGTGAGAGGGGCAAAACCCTTCTTCTTCTGGTCTCAGCAAAGATAACTTGTGCCAAATGCTTTTTGTCAGCATTTGCAGGATGGCAGAACCCTGGCCTGCTGGGGTAGTAGAGTTGTCTTGGAAAGAAGTGGGCACAGAAGGTGGGGAGAGCTGACGTTTGAGCTGGAGAAACAATTCTGTGGGGAGGTCACCTCCACGTTGAATACAAAGGGAGCAGGTTCAGGCTGTGTTAGAAGATCGTGGCAGAGGCTGCGAACAGTTCTGAGTCCTGCGGAGGCTTGTTTGGAAAATAAATTTGACTTTAAAGCGTTATCAGCTTTACACTTGTTGTGGGGGCTGAGAAGAGGTTCACAGAGGACTGCTGGTGTCTTGGCAAGTGTCTGTCAGGGCAAGGGATGCTTGGTGCTGCCACTTTTTGGACTTGTCCTCGTGGAAACCCCGTGGAACAGTAAACACTTGCTCAATTGCATCATGTCACTCCACTTGCAGCGGGCGTTTGGTTTCTCAGTTTCTCACTTCAGCAATCCAGTAAAATGAAACGGCTACTTCCCTTAATGTTACGCCTGCGTGCTTAAAGCAGGAAAATCTCATTTACAGTCAGATCAGGCACCCCAGCTATCTCTTCATGCAACTTTTTTTTTTTTTTTCTTATTCTTGGGTAATGTCTGGGTTTGTGTTCAGAAATAAGCTTTTCATTATACTGTAGGAGCCAAAATTCAGGCTAGGGAACCGTTGAGTTTCCTGGATATCAAGTGACATTTGTATGACTTCAGAAAGGTCACTTATAATCCTTATTGTTATTTTTATTCCCATCCGAGGAAAATTCCAATTAAGAACAGCTAATACAGCTAGAATTAATTTACAGGTTTGCTAATTAAGAGTGTAAATCTTCAAGTATTTTATAAATACCAGTACGCTTTTAAATGTCAGAGCTTTGTGCGTTGCTACCTACCTCACCTTGCAGCCAGTGGGATTCACATCCTCCCCTGTTCCTGCAGGCATTGATTTAAAGTGTGTTTATGCATGAATGTGATGACAGAGAAGTAAATTTTATGCAGAGGGCAGAACTGCTCATTGCCTCATGTTTTGATGATGATGCAAGAAGATATTTCAACTTTCACTATGACCCCAAATCAGAAATCGAAACAGGATGCTCCTTACCAAGCTCTTTAAGTTCCCCACACAGATGAACCCAGTTTGTTTCCTACAAGCCACTTCCTGCATTTTCCAGTTTCCCACCCCAGACTTTCCACTGTGGGTTCCCTCTTAAAAGATCTTTCTTGACATGCTTTTCTGATGGCTGTTCATTTAAGTTGGGGAAAGATCAGTTTTGTACCTGCCATCTCCACTTAGCTTTGTCCCGTTGCATTCTCCTGAGGTGGTGGGAGTACCTGGAAGCCAGACAAGAAGTATGACAGGTGGCTTAACCAGTCTTGTCAAAGTACAAGCTCCCTCGCTTCCCTGCCAGTATGGAGCATGGCAGCTCTGGAAGTTGTCCTGCAATAATAGTAATTAAAAAATATTTATTTAGAATAAGTAAAATTCTCCTGCATAGCATTTTTCACGAACAAATACTGCATCGAAATAAAAAGCTGGGTGATAACCCCGAGCTGTGTCTCCTAATGCAGTGTACGTCCCATAGCTTTCAGTACCTTGCTGCACTGGTGCCTGCAGTGGAGGGTCATGAGCGACCAAAGAATGATGGTTCCTTCTCCCAGCAGGGTTTGGGTTTGGGTTATACCCCATGTGGGACAACCACAGGTGGGTCCTGCGGTGTGCTCCCACCACCTTTGCTGTTAGCCTCATGCAGCTGCAGGCTGATTGTATGGAAATACAAAACCACTCCAGGAAATAGGTATCAGATCAGCCTGTCGATCCAAATTCCCCCCCACAGGGGTGCACAAGGAAGCAGCCAGAGCAGATTGTTTGAGGCTGCTCCTTTTAGAGCAGGCGAGGTGAAAGGCGGAACCACAAGGGCAGTAAATCTGGCTCTCCAACTGCCCTGTTGTTGAAAACGAGATAAATCCTGGGGACCACATCTAATGTGCGGCTAGCCGAAATGTTGCAAATGACATGCATAGCTAACTCCAGCTATTAAACACATCTGAGGGAAAAAAACAAAAAAAAAGGACAAAAGAAGAAAAAGCCACAACCCCAAACAGCTTTGGTTTGAGGTTGCTTGTAGAAGCTTTACAGGGTGATTTAAAGAATAGCTGGATTGCATCCAACCTGTTTGCTACGCTGAGAAGGTAAGATGAACAAAAGCAGTTAATTCAATCTATGACCATCAAACACACTTTGATGCTCTTCAGGCCTGTAGTTCCTTAGGCTGTGCTTTGGTTTGGACCAGCAGAGTCTTTAAATACCATCATCATGCAGCCTGGGCTGTGATTGAGCAGTGATTGAGTGTGGCTGTTGAAAAGCAAAAATCATGTTCTGACTTGTAATCTGAAAACAACCACCGCCTGGAAAGTGATGTTGGATTCCTGGTGCATTCCTGCTTTTATCTTTCAAGCTTCAGCCACACATAGCTATGCTGATTGGTCACTCTCCCCTCACAACACCTTTTTTTAGCATGTTTTACTTATTTTCTTCCTGTTTTTATTTAGATTTCAGGCAGGTGATGTGCTTTGTCCATACACAGCCCATTGCCTGTCTCAGTTGTAGGATGGAGCTCCCTCCATTCTGATTGAGAGACCCTAATTTTTCGGGGCTATTTATCCACCTGGCATCGTTCCTAAAGCAGTGGCCCTTTTTATGATTCAAATTGCAGCTGAATGGCTCTCTGGCAGAAATGATGATTAAAAGGGCTAGTTACTGAAATGAAATACAGTTCTAGTAAAACCATTACTTAATGTCTTGGTATTAAGTAGAGGCTGCATGAATATGAAAAGCCTCTGGAGTTCTGCAGGTAATAATGGATGCTGGAAACAGCTGAAATACCATTACCAGGGACCCAGACTCACTTAGGCAGCAGGAAATGACCAAACATAAACATTTCTTCATTATCTTTGGATCTTATTAAAGTAATAATGGCCCCTTGGGTGCTGGCTGCTGACATTAATATTCTGTCTAGGCTGGGAGGCATCCTTCCCCTTTTCAAACGTTTTCCCTCTCAGTTGTTAATACACAAGGTGCTGCCGACCAGCTCCACCCTCACAAGGCAAATCGAGCTGCAAAGCACGCTCAGAGGGAAGAGCTGATTTGCATCTTTGCATTTGTCAGAGGAGAGTTGTATATGGCTGTTCCTCCCGCCAAGAAATTTTCTTTTGGAAAGTTATATTCCGTTAGTTAAATAATATTTTAGTGCACTGAACCAGAAAGTTGAAAGGTAAATTTAATCACATGACTGAAAAGGATTTATTTAATACATCTGAGCTCTTTTAAGTGGAGAAATGAGGTTTAGCCCTTCTTTCCATCAACCTGTGGGGGGAAAAGAAACGCTGTATTGGGTCAGGCAGGCTGTCCCCCTGTAGCCCATGGAGGTCCACAGCGGAGCAGATATCCACCTGCAGCCCATGGAGGACCCCACGCCAGAGTGGGTGGATGTGGTCCAAAGGAGGCTGTGACCCTGTGGGAAGCCCAAGGTCAAGCTGGCTCCTGCCAAGACCTGTGGCCCCACGGGCAGCATGTGCTGGATCAGTCTGTTCCTGAAGGACTGCACCTCGTGGAAGGGACCCAGGCTGGAGCAGTTCATAAAGAGCTGCAGACCGTGGGAAGGACACATGCTGGAGAAGTTCACAGAGTACTGTCTTCCCATGAGTGGGAGGCCACGCTGGAGCAGGGGAAGACTGTGAAGAGGAAGGAGAGGCAGAAACAGCACGTGTTGAACTGACCACAACCCCTATTCCCCGTTCCCTTGTGCCACTTGGTGGGAGGATGTAGAGAAACCGGGAGTGAAGTTGAGCCTGAGAAGAAAGGAAGGATGGGGACAAAGATGTTTTAAGATTTGTTCTCATTTTTCATTATCCTACTCTGATGTTAATT